GGGAAGTCGCGCTCCCCGCGCACACATGGCCCCCACCCCGCGCCACCTCCCCAAAGCGACAAACGGTGCGCCTCTCCCCGATCCCTGCAAGCTACTTACGGTGGGGACGCTGCGGCGGTAGGGCAGAGCCGACTGGGACAGGCCCTTCCTGCGGAGAGAAGCGGACTTGGGATGAAGGGGCGCTCTGGGCCACAGCAGCCAAGGCCATCATCCCCTCGACCCGCTGCCCACACTTGGTCCTTTCCCCCTCTCCCGCCCCCATCCCCGCGGCCGAGCCCTGCACCCCTCTGGGAAACCCTAGCTCACCCGGGAGCGTGCATGCGACCCATGATGGCGGCGGACTGGCTGTGGAAAAGAGCGTGAATTGGAAACGCCGCAGGAAGCCACCCAGCACGCAGGAAGTGACCTCACACGTCCCCGCTTCCTCGCACGCGGGAGGCGGAGCCACACTGCGTAGTCCTCAGCGTCCGCCTGACTACATATCCCGAAATGCACTTCAACGCGGTAGTGGATTCCTGATCAACAGGACTACACATCCCGGCATGCATCTGTCTTTGAGGCGGTTCGAGGCCAGACCCGGAAATTAAGTCCGCCTGCAGCCGGGACCGCGCGTCTGAGGGTGGTGCCGGCGTCAAGAGCGCGCAGGTTGGAATCCGGACTAGGAGTTGGGCCTGGAGACAGCTGCAGTGGTTGGTGGGCTTTTCCTACGCTAGGAAAGGTCTTTATCCGCGCTCCCGCCCCCAGCGAATTTGGGTCAGGTCAATTACGTAGGTACTTAATTACACGTGCGTTTCTTAAGTATCGCTTCAGCAGCCCCCTGACATCCCAGCTATGTCTTGTAGTGGAAATATTGAGAGATGTCTATGATGTAGCCAACCCCGGTGCTGGATTATTTTGAGAATTCCACTATGGTTAAAAAAGAAAAAAATCAGTACTTTTCTAATAAGGATATAGGAATGTTGACTAAAATATTTATTTATGGAATAGAAACTAACAGTTATTTCAAGATTTCTATAATCATGTTTAAGCCCTCCACTAGTTTTTCACATTATCTGGCCATGTCTGTATCAATAATATCGAAGTAAAATATGTAGTTAGTTAAATGTGTGTTGAACTTTAATCAAATGATGTCATATCCTTATTGCCTTTACACGTGGCATGCTTTTTTTAAGAACTTTCATAAATTGGAACCTGATTTTTTAAAGACAAAAGGGGGGAAATTCTTTTCTAAAAAATTTTCAGTTAGCACAGATACCATAATTAAATGGTTTTTAAAAATTGATTGTATAGCCTTTTAAAATTCACATACTATAAAATTTGCTATTTTAAAGTTTATAATTCAGTCTTTTAGTACATTCACGAGTAATATTCCATTGTATGGATATATCACTTTATTTGTGCATTGGTTGACGGAAAGTTGTTTTATTTGTACTTTTTAGTCATTATGAATAATGCTGTGAACATGTGTGTGCAAGTATTTGAGTACCTGTTTTCAATTCTTGAGGTTTTATATACATCTTCACACAGTATATAAATTGCTGGGTAACTATGTTAAACTTTTTGAGAACTCTCAAACTATTTTCCACAGGAGCTGCACTGTTTTTGCATTCCCACCAGGAATAAATGAGGCCCTCAAACTTTTTATTCTGGTTATCCCAGGGGGTGTGAATTAGTAACTCACTATAATTTTTGTTTGTATTTCTCTAATGACTAATAAAGTTGAGCACCTTTTCAAATATATAATTTTTTTTTTTTTTTACTGATTTCAGAGAGAAAGGAGAGGCAGAGATAGAAACATCGATGAGAATCACTGATCAGCTGCCTCCTGCACACCCCCTACTGGGGATTGAGCTCACAACCCAGGCATGTGTCCTTGACCGGAGTCGAACCTGGGACCCTTCAGTACACAGGCCGATGCTCTATTCACTGAGCCAAACTGGCTAGTGTGTTAAGTATCTTTTCATGTGATTGATCATTTTGGAGGAATGTGTATTCACTCATTTGTCTATTTGTGTCATATCAGATATATGATTTGTGACTATTCTCTCCCATTTTGTGAGATGTCTTTTTACTTTACTAATAGTGTCCTTTGATGCATAAAATATTTAAATTAAAAACAAATTTTGGGGGGGGGTGGGTTTAAAAAAATTTTTGATGCAGCCCAGATTATTTTTCTTTTGTTGCTTTTTTTTTTTTGAAAGAAGAGAAACATTGATCAGCTGTGCTCTGATGAAGGATTGAACTTGCAACCTGGACATGTGCCCCAACCAGGAATTGAACCCACCACCCCTTCGTGTGTAGATAACACTCCAACCAAGGCACACTTGTGCTTTTTGTGTCATGCTTAAGAAACCCTTGTCTAGTCCAATGTTACAAAGATGCACACTTGTTTTCTCCTAAATTTTATAATTTTAATTATGTTTAGGTCTTTGATCCATTTTGAACTAATTTTTGTATATGTTATAAGAGTTCTTTTGCATATGGTTATCTAATTGACTTTGTTGAAAAAACAATTCTTTCCCCATTGATCTTGTCAGTGTTATGAATGTCTTTCATGATTAAAAAACAAACAAAAAACAAATAGTTATTCTGGAAATGAAAAATAAACCACCAATATTTAAAACTCAATGAATGGGTCAAACAGTTGAAGTGAGTAATAATTGAAGAAATCATACTAAATTATTCAGAACTGAAGTTACCGATTCACAGATTTAAGAATTCTAAAATGGAAGAAAAAAGAAAGAAAAGGTATCTACATATAAGGCACCTCCTAGTTAATACATATCAAATAAGATTAGACCTAAGGTAGTAACTGTAGTAGGTATATAATGGAATCATACATGGAATTCATTCTACTATTGTCTAATTTTGTATGTCTAAAATTTGTATGATAAAGTGTTTTGAAAGAGTAGGGATGAAATAAAATAGGTTTTGTGACAGAAATTGAATTTATCACCCCCTCCAAACTGGCTCTGATTGTTTAAGTTACTGCTTTTCCTGGTTTCTGCGTATTAAAAGAATCTACATTTTCCTGTTGTGTAGGTATGTCTATAACATGGTTGTTACCACCCTATTTAATCCACACTAATAAAAGAGGAAGATGTAAATTGACCATACATCTATGACACCTACCAGCTAATCAGGAGTGTGTAGATATAGGATTAATTTGCATATGCAGGCACTGAGCGAAGACTGAAGACGGAAGGCTTGGCTCCATTGCAGCCCGGGTCCCAGGTGCCGGAGGAAAACCAGTGCTGGCAGCCAGGGGAAGGAAGGCCTATTGCCCAAATCTTCGTGTAACAGGCCTCTAGCATTTAAATAAACTACCAAAGGCCAGGGACCATACTCACAGAAGCATTTCAGTTCTGTGAAATGGTGATGGGACTCTGGGCAAATGGCAATCCAGACCTTCAAAGACCACACTTAGAAATCAGACACACTTTATTTGAACATCTTTAGGGTAACCTGACAAATCAGTTCTGAAATTCAGGATTATATGAACCTATTATAATAAACTCCTGGGTAAAATGCAAAGAACCAACAGTGAGCTCAAAGTTTGGAACCAAAAACAGTAATATGGTGACGAGGAAAGAACTGATAGCAGAATTCCTTTATTCCAGAAATATTTTAATAAAATTATAGTACAGTTATGAAGTCACATTCAATCCACTGAATATATTCAAGGTATTAATAAAAAAAAATTATACATCTTTATTCACTACCTTAACATAATTAAAGTATTTGGTTCTTATAGATCAGACTAACTACCATATTCATTCATATTTGCACTGCTAGTCAAACAGCATGTAAATTAATCTATAAATTATAGTAGTGTGGCTTCAGTCCTTTTTTATGTGCAGTCTAAATATCAAAATTGAATGTTTTCTTTTTTTATATGCCATAGTACTGGAGTCCTAGAAAAGACTCATTAACCAACTTAAGGCAAGATATTGAAACTTTTATTCAACATTAATTTGAAAAGATAAAATACTTTACCAAAGACCATACATGCCTTAACATTTAGATACCTATTGATTCTTTTAAAGGCAGTGATAAAACTATCAGTGCAAGTTCTACATTGGGTTCCTCAGTAGAGAAAATAGGTTCTGGGAGTAAACCATTATTTTTCAAATCCCAAAACACTCCAAGAGGAAAGAATTCTTCTGGTGCAGGACTTCCGTATAGTGTAATTAATTATTTTTACTCAATAAAGACAGATATAAAACGTGATTATACATACAAATTAGTGTATTGGCTAGCTTGTTTAAACTTTTGTTTGATTTACTTGAATGTAAGCTTTAAAAAATGATTAAAAAACAACTGATTTAAAAATCTATTGATAGTAGCAGTGCAAAGAGGTGCCCCAGTCCCTTTTTTGGTAAGGGCTGAAGATGAGCATTTCACAAAGAAATAACTTATATTAGAATATATGTAAAGTATGTGTGTGGTGCTTTAATGACCAAAGAAGGCACAGAATGAGTTAAATTAAGAGAAAGCATCACCACTTGTTCTGAACTCTGGTTAACTGTACAATATTAATCATAATATACACTTTCAGATAAGAATCCAGATTTCAAAAAAAAAAAAAAAATCCAGATTTCTTGTAATTGAAAAGTGACCCCATTTTCTAGCTCTATTATTGATATTTGTGCTAAGAGGCACTGCAGTAACAGACTGCAAATAGGCAGTATACATCGAGTCTAATTAACAATGACCTTTAACCAAAACAGTACTTTTACAGTGGCTGTGGAATGGAATTAGGTATCAAAAACTTAAGTGAAAATATCTATTACTTCTTTACATTTGAAAAGCTACTTACACATGCTATCTGTGGAAAAAAAAAAAAACAGTGGTGCTTTGATGTGCATTTAATTATTGTATTAAATAGACGACACATTTAACATTTAAAAAAGACATTCATATATCATACTCATGGGGTTTCCTACAAATGGACCATTAGTGTTAGGCACCAAAAATTTCAAGTTTTTATTTTTATTTTTGCCTGTCCCACTGATGTATCATCGACTCATCTATTTCTGCTCTGCAGGTATCACCATGTATTGTATATTAAATATTTGCACAGTTTATAAAAATTCTGTTCTGGACAACTAACTTGCAGACTGTCCTTTCTGTGTTGGTTTTCTACAATGCATATTTTGTCAGTTATCTCACAGCACCGAGATTGTTACAATCTATTATCATTTAAAAAGTGACTTTCTATTTTAGCCATGAGAATATTATATATACATATTTATCCAAACTAAACACAAAACTGTTTGTGAAGTTGAATAACTAATAAAAATGAATCTTATTCTTAATGGTTACTATAAATGATTTCAATCATGTCCCTTATGATTCTAAGTCACATTATATTAAGGAAAATAATTTTTTAATGTACAATGTTTACAAATGTAAGTAAGACACTTACAAAATCAACTCTGCCATAAATGTCTACATTTTAATTCAGTATGGACCCTAGAATTCTTGTCCTGGGCCCACTGGGAAGAGTCTGCCCTATTCATTGGAGTTCTTCTACCAAATAGGAATGGGTACATGGGTAAACAATTTTCACTTATTTAATGAAGGAGTGGAGTATAGATACATAGAAGTGAAACTACCAAACTCACACTCCTGGGAATAAATGTAGGACTATTAGAATAATGGAATGATGGAATTTAGTGTACAGCTACATTGATGGATCTCATTCAATTACTGGATAACACAAGCATAAATTAAATGGCTGACTTTAACTAAGTCACATATCAGAAGTAGAGAAAATGATCTTTCTGTGGGAAAAACACTAGTAAGTGTAAATAACTTTTTGTCTCGAGTAAGCTGAAAGTGAGTGAAAACTACTTATTAGTTATCAAGTCAGAAAAAGTCAGAATGAAGTGTCAGGCAGACATGAAGTTAAGGCACCATTATTTACAACTTCATTCTGAAAAAGGCTTTAATGACATGAAAAATAGAAAGCAATGTTATTTCCCCCTATGTTTATAAACTACTTAGTAGTTTTTAACATAATTATCTATAATTTGTGCTTTGCTTTTCGGCCCTGTGAATAGCAGCTGCATTTGTCTGTAACATCTGCACCTTTCCTTTCCTTTGGTGTTTGCAAACATGCACAGTGGTAAAGGCTATAGAAGGTGCAAAACAGGAAAACAAACATGCTGTGTCTATGTAAGAAACAATGAAAAAAAGACCAAACTAAAGCTATTAATCTGAATTACTTAAGAGAGGATTAAATTGTTCAAGTCTTTTGAAGACTTATTATATATTAAGTTTAGGGTTTACAGCATTCTACATAATAACTTTAAAACAGCAATGGCTTCAACAAACTCATAAAAGTTAGTTATGTGACTGTTGGTCCAACATGTGTATTGAAATGCAACAAGTACATTTACTTTATATTTTCTATCCAAGTATAAAAATACTATACAAAGTTCTCAAGTGTGTGTGTGTTTATAACTATTCTACTTCCAAAGCTCAGAAATTCATTAGCTTAGAAATAGGTTGCTGCAGTCAGCTGATACCACTTAACCGTCTCTTTGCTCAAGTTGAAATCTTTCAAAGGCAGGGTTATTCCACCCAAGAAAAAATTCTCCCGCAGAGATTCTGCACTGAGTACACTTAGTTGAAGTTCTCTCTGTCTTAGGATTTCTTTGCTGTATCCACTGTACACAAGCTACAGCAAAGGCAAAAAGAAAACAGAAAGTTAATAATAATCCTATTAAGTAAACACAAGTGAGGTCACTAGTCAAAGTGACTAAATTATTGACATTGATTATGACACATCTGGTGGAATTTTTCTCATGCTTTAGATACACATTTTATATTTCAGGGGTCCTGAATTGTATTATCAGTCCTCTGAAAATCTGACATAGAAATGCACAACATAGAAAGTTATTATGGCTGGGACCGGTTTGGCTCAATGGATAGAGCGTCGGCTTGGGGACTGAAGGGTCCCGGGTTCGATTCTGGTCAAGGGCATGTACCTTGGTTGCGGGCATATCCCCAGTAGGGGGTGTGCAAGAGGCAGCTGATCGATGACTCTCTCTCATCGATGTTTCTAGCTCTCTATCTCTCTCCCTTCCTCTCTGTATAAAATCAATAAAATATGTTTAAAAAAATAAAATAAAAATAAAATAAAACAACAAAAAAAAGAAAGTTATTATGGCTTAAAACTAAAAACATGGTCTTTCTGAGATGGAGTATGGGGAAAGGCAGCATGCACTAAGATGATCTAATGAGAATAGAAGGAAGCAAGTTGAGACAGCATAATTATAAGTATTTTACAAAAAACAAACAAAAAAACCAAAAACTCAAGGTATTAAAATTTTCTTTTGTTGTCTTTTTTTTTCTTTTGGATTTTATATACCATGAAATGATAATTTCTAATTATCCATAATCCAATGCAAACTCATCAACTACAATGTAATTCACAGAAAATCTGGCGTGTTGAAAAGCTACTCTCTTTCAAATACTACATTTAACACTTAAAACATTTTATATGCTTTTAATGGACTGAAAGGATATGCTAAGATTTTAATAAATTCATAAACTTGATGAAAATTCAGAACTATTTCAAATCTCTAGATAGAGATTTTGTGTGGATGCAATGTTAATGTGCACAAATAAAGTAGTGTTTATTCTAAAGAAGCAGTTAACTAAGAGTTAGTGGGTCCTAACAGATGAGGAATTTTACAAGTTGGCCACGAGTAGCCGAGCAGTCACAGTTCTGCTCCATCCTGGTTAGCTGACGCCTGCTCCAGTTAAAAGCACTCTATTTCAAGAGGATTGCTGAAACTAGTTAGAAGGAAGATGATTTTGAAACTACATCCTATCAAGCAAAGGTTAAGGTACTGAAGATATTTTAAAAGAATAAACAGGGCATTTAAACTTCAATTATCTGAAGGGCTGCCATGTAGGAGGAAAAGAATAGTCTGTGTGGTTCCGAGAGGTGAGACCCACAGGTGCAAACTCTAGGGAGGGAAGATTTCATCTCAGCATAAAAAATAATCTGAGCGTTGGAGCTGCCCCAAACTGGAAGTACTTCAGTACAGACTGAACAGCCCGCCCCCCTTTTTGAAAATGTAGAAGGGGTTCAAGCTAGAAGGGTAGTTGAATAATGGCCCCTAAGATCTTCTTAAAACCTAGGGTCTATGATTGAGGGTTCAATTCTGCATCATTTTGTGGGTTTAAAAAACAACAACTTTTTATTGATTCAGAGAGGAAGAGGGAGGGGGAGAGAGAAGCATCAATGATGAGAGAGAATCATTGGCTGCCTCTTGCACACCACCTACCGGGGATCAAGTTGCACCTCAGGCATGTGCTCTGGACCTGAACTGAAACAGGGCCCCTTCAGTCTGCAGGCCGACACTCTATCCACTGAGCCAAACCGCTAGGGCTGCACCACTTTGTTCAATACCATTGGGCTGCTACTGATTTACTTTACCAGTATAACAACCAATACCTAAAAATTTTAAGTTTAAAATCTCAAAACAACAAATCAAGGACATTTTTAGAAATGATTTTAACTTACCATTTCATTGAATGTCGGGTTCCTAGTTTTACGTGAAATTTTGGTTTTGCGTTTAGATGTTTTGTGGGGATCTGGAAGTAGGTATGTTTTGACATATGGATTTGGGTCAGCCCCATCTTCAGTAACCTACAAAGAAAAGCATTCCTTTAACAGTAATGCTTCCTACCAAGGAATGGGTTTCCTCTACAACCACCAGTATTTGTAATCACTCACAAGATCTTTGATGTGCATCACCATGATGAAAAGAGTACTATTTCGGTAAGAGACAGATAATTTCACTGATCCTCCTATTTGGCCTGGAGTAGGACTGAAGGGTCCCGCACCTGAAAATATAAATATGTTAACCATATTTTTATCTTGCTTGCAGTGGATCAAGCCACAACAAAAAAATTTTTGCTTTAACTCCAGGACCATGTGAATGTGCAGTAACAAAGGGCAAAGAACCTGGTAGGCCATAGGATCTATATTTCTTTAGTAATTACATTCTATTAGGAAAATTAAGTTTATCTAGAAACAGACTGGCTTAGAAAGAATACCTCCTCTCATCACACTGGACTACAGCTTGCAACCCCACCATGATTCCACCACATCCACGGATTAGTTACAGACTTGAGGGCCATAGGAAGCTGTGATCTATCAATAAAGAGAAAACAATATTCTCACCTGCAGACTTAGCGATTCCTTCAGCTTTCTCATCACGAAGTAGAGGGTGAAAAAATGTACAAACAAGATCACACTAAGAAAGAAGAGAAAAAGATCCATTAGCTTAAGCATTATGTAGCACAAAAATGTATGTTATTTTTCAATTAGGACAATCACCTCTGCTACATCCGTTGAAGCACTCATCAAACTCTGCAAATAACTGTTTAATTCAATTTTTCTTTTGGCTGCTACATCTTTTATGTGTGTTCTTCCTAGAACCATTCTATTGGGAAAGCTACAAAAGAAAAACAGTAATAAGTGGGATTTAAATTATTTCATCTGGAAGTATTTGTGGAATCAAGTTCAATATTTACTTAGAAATACACTTTTTTATATACTTAAATACAAACTGGATTCTTAATCCACTATAAAGTAAATTTTGCGATTTCTCTTCAAAGTACTGGAGATGAAACAGTTCCATTATTCTTTTAAGAACCCTGGCACAAAAGATTTGTTGTTTTTCTAATTTCTGTATTTTAAACTTATTTTCTACTTATTTCTTCTCATGATTAATCATTCACAGATATTTTATGCAGATCTTAACCTCTAAAATAATCATTAACCAGCCACAGCTATTGTAGAGACCAGTAAAATTCACCAACGACAAAGGCCCCATATCAAGATAATCTTAACTGCTTAGTTTGGTGGCAGTGGAAAAATGTTTGAATCTAGTATTGCACATGGAAATAAACTCAGCTAAATTAAAACTGAGGGTCTCTAAACGGTATCAGATACAAAACTAAACACTAAGATTCTGACTAACAATCTCAGTGCCTTAGCTCTTTTTTATCCAGATGAGCTCCGTATGATCATAACAGATTTTTTTCTGCAGTTATTTAAAATCTGTTTCTTGAACACCAATATTCCAAAATTTATTATCTTATGTTGCTTACTATGGTAGAGATAGCAAATTTAAAGCTTACGTTATAATTAGAAAACTGGAAAATCCCAAAATTTAAGTTTAAGATTTATTTTTAAGAAATATGTTTTTGATTTATTTTAGAGAGGAAGGAGGAAGAGGGCGAGAGTGAAACATCAATTGGCTGCCTTCTGCAGGGGATCCCACAACCTGAGCATGTGACTAGAAATCAAACTGGCAACCTTTTGTTGCACAGGACAATGCCCAACCAATTGAGCCACACTGGCCAGGGCAATTTCAGATTTTGATAATTTGTTAACTCATTAATAAAAAACTTACAGTTCCTTGCTTTAATCTAGTACTGTATTAGGCTCTTGTGATATAAAAGGAAAATAAGTCACATATGGTTCATAGTATCTTACTAAGTATTAACACAAAACTTTTAACCTACACTTAATAATAAGTTATTTTCTATAAAAAAGGATTAATGTACATGAATAGGAACATACCCTGGTAACTTCCAAAGTGGAAAAATAATACTGAGCTTGTTGTGCAGTTCCTGAAATTCATCAAATGTCCGGAACACAAATGATGGTTCAAGCTGTCCTTCCCTCAAAATTCGGACTACATAAATCTGAAGAAATCACACCCAAACACATTAGATTCATAAAATCTTTCCCGATAGAAAGAAAATAAGAGTTTGATCATTTTATACACTGAATGGCCAGATTATTATGATCTCTGAACACATAATAATCTGGCCATTCAGTGTATATCTTACATAATAAGAGGCTAATGTGCAATTGTTCCCTCAACCAGGAGTTCGATCAGCAGGCAGGCTGGTCAACTGCCCATGTCTCCTCCCCCTGGCCAGGCTGTCTGAACCCCACCCAAGCACGAATTCATGCACCAGGCCTCTAAAAATATATATATATATATATACACAAACACACTAAGTGGCCAGATTATTATGCGTTCAGAGATAATAATAATCTGGACTCTTTAGTGTATAATCCAAGTGCTTTTAGCTTGTTAATATATGTCCTCAATAGAAAACAGCAAATATAAAACTCATTTATAGCACATCTAACAACATTCTAAGAGCGATCTTATAGAAACATGAACTGGAAAGTGAAGTCATTTTATTTCCAGAATAAAATAAAATAAATTTATTGGTCAAATTTATAAATATAGTACATTTTCAATGAAAATATTAGTAAGTTCATTTAAAAGAGTAAATAAGAAAAAAAGCAAAATTTATGACAGCTAGGGTATGAGGGAAAACATATCTTATTGGATATTTAAACTATTATATCAGAGTACTTTAGAGAGCAAAATATTGGTGCAGAGCTAGCTACAGCTACCGAAGAAATATGTATAAAATTAGTGTATTTAAAGGTGGCATGAAAAATCATTGGGGGTAGGGGAAGGACTGCTCAATAAATGGTGTTAGGGTAAAATGACCAGTGAACATACAAAAATTAATAAAATAGCTTAAAATTTAAATAATAGTAAAGTTGCTTTCTGAAATTTATCAATCTGTCAAAAATTTAAAGACTCACAGTGCCACAAAGTTTTACCCAACAAAATTATTAGCACAAGTGTGAATAAAACAGTAAAATGATGATAGTGCTATATACTATTAGGGAGGAAGCACACTGAAGTACTGCCTTTAAAAAACAAACTGTATGTGTGTGATAACATTTGATCATTCCTGAGGAGTAGGATAAGAACTTAGAAATGATTTTAACTTTACATGCTTCTATATTGGTTGAATTTGTTACAATGAGCAAGCTTTACCTTTGAAATTAAGAACGAATTGAAGATAAGGAAGGAGAAAAAGCACTACCCTTTTAGTCTTGTCTCTGAAAAGAAGAATATCATTTGTCCCTCATGGTTTTGGAGCAAATCTACCAAGAAATAAATACCAAAAAACAATTAGGGAAGCCCCAAGTACATTTATTTATTTTTGGACCATCCATGGAAGAAAGAAGTATGAAAAGAACAAATGCTTGAAACTTCAGCAGAGTCAATGAAAGAAGTGGAAAAGGACAATAATGCAGGCACCAGTCTCTACAAATCAAACCAAACTTACGTAATGTTTATCTGGGTTGTATTTCTTATGGTAAGTGAAAACAGAGACTTCCTTGATTCGACCATCTTGTCTAAAAGAGTATGTTTTGGGTGAAAATGAAAGGATAGGTTCATCATTGGAAGGAAGACCAGAAAAACGCAGCTGAGCAAGGTTGTGAATGAAGAAGTTAAATTTTGTGGCAATGCTCCCCAAGCTGGATTCAATCAGCCTACAAAATAAACAGAAAATGTGTTAACAGTAAATGTCCATGAGAACACATGCTCAATTCTTTTAACATAATAAAAGATGAAAAATATTTTCATTCCTTTTAAAATATTAAGCAGACTCTCACTCTGTCAAAGATCCTCTTTGTTCTATAAGCCAAAAACCCATTAAAATACATCTCACCCCAACAAAAATGTTAGCACAAGAATCTCAATCCCATTGTCTCCAAGAAATGATGCTTTTATTTCTTGAGCCTTCTGGGGTCCAATACTAATTAAAAGCTTTTAGTGATAGAAGATGACTGGTATAATGCCAAAAGATGATTTTATTATTTAGTCCCTTGTAATAAATCTGGACAGTGACAGCTAAACAGGTATAGGAGGAAGAATCCAGAGTAATTCAAATTAAAAAAATAAATCTCTTTTATCAAATAGTAGAATCTACTATCACAGTCCTTCAGATAATCATGACTTCCCTCAATTGGGTGGGAAAATAAGTTTTGACAGGATGGAGAGTTTGGTGAGAATCAATTCAGAAGGCAGACCTGGATAAAACATTGTAGGCAAGCGAAGGAAAAAGAAGTTTCAGAACCAGAATAAAGGAATCCAGAAAGAGAAAAAGGATTCAATAGGGAAATGAGAAAACCTCACAATCTTTATGTTTGCCTTGCTATGGATTAAACATTGTGTCTCCCAAAATTCATGTGTTCAAGCTCCAATGGGTATGGCCTTTATGGAGTTAGAAATTAAGGTTAAAGGTAGGGCCCTGATATATATTTTATTGATTTTTTACAGAGAGGAAAGAAGAGGGATAGAGAGTTAGAAACATTGATGAGAGAGAAACATCGATCAGCTGCCTCCTACACACCTCATACACACCTCCTACGCTGGGGATGTGCCCGCAACCGAGGTACATGCCCCTGACCGGAATCGAACTGGGACCCTTGAGACAGGCCAACGCTCTCTCCAATGAGCCAAACCGGTCAGGGCAGGATTATTCTTCTCATAATCTTATTTTAATCTATCTCTCTCTTTCAGGAGAAAACAGTGATGAGATAGTAGTCTGCAAGCTAGAGCCCTTACCATGAAGCAAATCAACTGATACCTGGATCTTGGACTTCCCAGCCTCCAGAACTATGAGAAATTAAATTTCTGTTGTTTAAGCTACCTCACCTATGGTATTTTGCCAAAGCAGATCAAGCAGACTAATATATGCCTGCTGTATAGCTTTACCCAGAGGAGCCTACGAAACTCTTTAAAAAAATAAAACTCATCAATACCTAAATTATCAGGATTAGTTTAGAAGGCTATACAAAAGTCAGTTTCCTTCAATTCAATTCAGCCCAGACTCTTGATACTAAGGAAATTCAGTACAGTGTTTTCTACCTCTTCTCCACTGAGAGGAAGAAGGCAAGAGAACAAGGAGAGAACTGACCAACCTGGTCACCAGACATTTAGAACATATTTGTCTTTATAGCAATAATGACAAGTTCACATGCTATCAAACAATTTACTACAGCAGTGTTGCAGAGGATGCTGTTTTAAGCACTTATGAGACCCATAAAAATTGTATTTGGCACTGCAGAAAATATGCTTCACAGAAATAGTTCATAAATAGGATTTTTATAATTGAAATCATATACTAAATAAAACTTGAGATCATACCTTGAGAGAAATAAGTTTATTTTTAATGTTGCAAATCCTTTATACTTATTCAGTAAATAAACTTGACAACCTACTATTTGCTAATACTGTGAATCAATTTTTCTCCTGAAAATCAGAATTTTGATGTATAGCATTTGTTTATACTAAGGAAAACAAATCAAAGCTAAATTGTGTGCCTTCTCTAATATATTTAAGCATGAATTACCTAGTAAAGAAAATTGTTGCTTCTGCATCTGTAGTTTGGGGCTGAAGTGCATCTCTAACATATTTCAAATCTTGAATACTTGTAAGTTCTGGTAACCCTGAGGGAATCATCTATAGAAAGGGGGAAAAAAGTCTGTGAGTTAATGTTTTTAAAAGTCTGTTCCCCATTCTTCCCTAAAAGCTATCCAGGTAATCAGAACTAAAGTGAACAAAAACAATCACAGTTTTGGGGAGTTTATGATTTAAAACTTAAGTGAGTCTCTTTTATTATTGAAAAAAATTGAGGAAATGAAGTTAATTATTAGAATTCACAAAGTCAGTTTATGGAATATAAATTGTAAAATCCAGACAATTTTGTGTAGTATTCTTTTTATATTAATTTCAATCACAATAATCATAGTGGTATTTTTGGTTTGTTTTTACTTAATATACACTGAGTGGCCAGATTATTATGATCTCTGAATGCATAATAATGGCCACTCAGATTATTATGATCTCTGAATGCATAATAATATATATACACATATACACACACATACACACACACACAAACACACACACTATCTAATAAAAGAGTAATATGCAAATTGATCATTACTCCAACACACAAGATGGCCGCCCCCATGTGGACACAAGATGGCCAGCAGGGAAGGGCAGTTGGGGGCAATCAGGACTGCAGGGGAGGGCAGTTAGGACAGGGGAGGACAATTGGGGGGACCAGGCCTGCAGGGGAGAGCAGTTGGAGGGACAAGACCTGCAGGGGAGGGAAGTTGGTGATCAGACCTGCAGAGGAGGGCAGTTAGGCATGACCGGGCTGGCAGGGGAGGACAGTTGGGGGGGGGGCCCCAGGCCTGCAGTGGGAGGACAGTTGGGGGGGGACCCAGACCAGCAGGGGAGGGCAGTTGGGAAGGACAAGGCCTGCAGGGGAGGGCAGTTGGAGGAGATCAGGCCTGCAGAGGAGGGCAGTTAGGCATGACCAGGCCTGCAGGGGAGAACAGTTGGGGGGGGGGGGGGGGAGGAACACAACCCAGGCCTGCAGGGGAGAGCAGTTGCGAGGGACAAGGCCTGCAGGGGAGGGCAATTGGGAGGGATAAGGCCCTTATCCCCGCAGGGGAGGGCATTTAGGGGTGATCAGGCTCGCAGGGAGGGCAGTTAGGGGTTATCAGGCCTGCAGGGGAGGACAGTTTAGAGGTGACCAGGCTGGTAGGAAGGGCAGTTAGGGGTGACTGGGCCAGCAAGGGAGGGCAGTTGGGGGCAACTAGGCCTGCAAAAGAGGACAGTTAGGGGTGACCAGGCTGGCAGAGGAGGGCAGTTAGAGCAATTGGGCTTGCAGGGGAGCAGTTAGGTGTTGATCAGGCTGGCAAGGGAGTGATTAGGGGTTGATCACGCTGGCAGGCAGAAGTAGTTAGGGGCAATCAGGCAGGCAGGCAGGCAGGCAGGCAGGCAGGCAGGCAACCGAGCAGTTGAGAGCCAGCAGTCCCGGATTGTGAGAAGGGTGTTTGACTGCCCATTTATGCCTGATTCCACCAGAATTGGGCCTAAACGGGCAGTTGGACATCTCTTTAGGAGTCCCAGATTGGAGATAGTGTAGGCTGGGCAGAGGAACCCCTACCATGCACAAATTTTGTGCACCAGGCCTCTAGTGTGTGTGTGTGTGTGTGTGTATGTGTGTATATATATTAGAAGCCCGGTGCATGAATTCGTGCATGGGTAGGCTCCAGCCAGCCTGGTCAGGGGGAGGGGACATGGGCGGTTGGCCAGCCTGCCTGCTGGTCGAACTCCTGGTCAAGGGAACAATTTGCATATTAGCCTTTTATTATATAGGATATACACTGAGTGGCCAGATTATTATGCGTTCAGAGATCATAATAATCTGGCCACTCAGCATATATCCAGAAAAGTACAGAAACCTTAAATGTACAGCTTAATGAATATTCACAATCTGAACACCCCCAGATAAGACACAATACATCTACCAGCATCCCTTTCTGTGACTATTACTCCTCACTTGCAAAGTAACCTGCGACTTTAAAAAAAATATTTTCTAACAAGGATCTCTGGCATATTTCACACTGTAGCAATTTTTAAATATGCTGGTAATAATATATCTGACATGTGAGACTATAGTAAATTTTACTCCAAAATCACTATATTCTTTTTGTAGTTACTGAAATACAGAAATATTAATATACTAGTAAAAGTAATTACATGCTTGTAAAGAACAATTACCAGTGACAGGAGGTTAAGAAAGAGGTTTGTCTGCTTTCTTATCAAATTGTAGGCCTGACAGCAGAGGTCCACAAATAACTGGAAACGAATGGTGGGCTTTTCACCCCCATTAATGACATATGCCATATCAGAGGTCAGGACAAAAGGAGCCCGATCCCTATTTAAAAGGAAAGTACATACAAAGTGTTATTTATAGAAGATAGTCAAATAGTGTTATTGCTATTACATGGTTATTGAACTAAGCTATCTGAGCCATAGCAATTTCCAAACTTGGTATAAAACAGTTTTGAATTTCCTTAATTCTTAAAAATTCACATTTTCAGGAAAGTAATAATCTAACCTCATCACTTAGATAGAAATTATATATGAAATCTTTCCCAAGGTGATATTTATAAATCCACACACTCAGAAATCAAACATAGTTATAGTTATAAACATACAGAGAAAAAAACTTGGTACTCATTGACATGATACAAATGGGAACATTTCCAATTAGGTATAGCTAGCTAGACAAAATAAAATATAATAGAACTAATTCATTTCAGCAAAGGTTATACACACTCATTCTTCTAGGACTTTTTTATCCCTAGTTTTTTTTTTTGTGTGTGTGTTTTTTAAACATTTTTTATTGATTTTTCACAGAGAGGAAGAGAGAGGGATAGAGAGTCAGAAACATCGATGAGAGAGAATCATCGATCAGCTGCCTCTTGCACACCCCCCCACTGGGGATGTGCCCGCAACCAAGGTACATGCCCTTGCCCGGAATCCAACCCGGGACCTTTCAGTTCGCAGGCCGATGCTCTATCCACTGAGCCAAACTGGTCCCGGCCCTAGTTTTGCTCAAAAAGAGCTACAAGACAAAGATTAGAAAGAAAAGAGGAAGGCTTAGGACATTAATTTGTAAAACTGGAAGTGGCTCTCTTTTCCTCAGTAATAACGGTAACAGTATTAGTACCTTTTGAAGCTACCAAACATCTGTGCATGGCCCAGAAACTTCCCAAAGTCAATGTGAAACATGTGTCCTGTGCTTCGAAGCATTATATTGTCATTGTGTCGGTCACAGATGCCTAAAACATAGGTGGCTACACAGCATCCAGCACAAGAATAGATAAAATTCTCAGAAGCCTATAATAAAGATAGAAAATTATTTTAGGGAAAAAAATTATTTTTAAAAGAGGCAAGGTTACAAAGATTAATGTAATTCATCCCTCTCTGAAATCACTGTTGTAATCCACATTCTAAACAGCCAATAAGTTTAATTATGGTTCAAAAAAAAAAGGCCAGTTTTTCAAAAATTCAAAAAACAGAAACACCCTTCTAAAGTTGGTTATTGCCCCTTCTCTCAAGCTTTGCCCTGTCACAAGCAGAGATGTCAGCAGGACATATGTAGGATATGCACTGCCCTTGAACATCTTTTAAGCATCGTGTTTGTGGAACCCTGCTCCTCACAGGCTCTGCTGCTTACACAAAGATTAATCTGAACAAAAGAATATTTTTCTTGTGTGTGTGTGTGTGTGTGTGTGTGTGTGTGTGTTTTGAGGGGGAGGAAGCTTCCAGGGAGGGCATGTGTAAAGAGAGTCAGTTTATATCTTTAAACATCCAATAATATAATTAATGTATTTGGTTGCCCAGTTGGTAACTCTTTATGTTCATCTGTTACATTTCTCAAAGTTGGACACTAGTCCTGCCTTTTCTGGGATTAAATTACTAACATAATATCCTACAGGATACAGCAAAATGCACACAACGAATATTTTAATCTAAAGCGTGTGCATTTAGTTTATTCTCAAAACACAACATTTCTCAATGAAGCAGTCATTTGCTTCTACATGTCCACATGGCTAATTCTGTTGTTGTTAATCTTTAGAGAGAGAGAGAGAGAGACTGATTGGTTGGCTCCCACACATGCCCCAACCAGGGCTAGGGACCAAACCTGCAACCCAGGTACATGCCCTTGACCAGGAATCAGTCCAGTGTACAGACCGACACTCTAACCAGTGAGCAATACAGGCCAGTGCCATGTGGTTAATTTTATTCCATAACCACCAAGAAATCATTACTGATGGTGATGATAATAGCAAATGTTTACATAGCACTTATCACAAACCAGGCACTGCACTACTCTCTTTCTCCTCCTGCGCCACACTCACAGTATACGTGTGCATATGTGTATGTATGGATGAATGGATGTGTACATCAACTCATTAAAAACCAGTGATGTAGAGACTATTATTACATTTTACATATGAAACGGAAACACAGAGAAGTTATTTACCCAAGATCATATAATTATTAAGTGGCAGAGCCAAGATTCAAACCCAGGCAATGTGACTCCACTATATTATATTCCCCAAATAAAAGAGCCAAATGCATAAAAGACACTCAATATACGTTACTTGACCATTATTTTGTGTCAAACAACTTACCCAGAATCACACAAAAAACCAGCATTACCATAAACAAGTACTGGCATCTGATGCACTGCTTTCCCCAACCCATAGAGAAAAGAAAGTGTTTTTAGACATTTTAAAAGACCAACTAAATTCCTCTACTTTACTTTCTTAGTCAACAGATAACGTTTGTAGCTATTTATCTGCAAACGTGATTTAGCAATTATTTGACATAAACTAAGCAGGCAAATTACATTAACTGGGATCTTCTTACATCACCATTGAAAGTATTCTTGAGTCTTCTTTTAGCCAATTTAGGATCATTATAGGCCTTATGTCCTAAGAGATTTTCCTTTCCTCTTATGTAAAACAAATGCATACTAAAACAAAAAAATCATGCCTCCAATAACAGCTATAGTTATAGAATGTAGTCTATCGACACTTTATATATCTTAATTCATTTAGTTATCATAATAACCTATGGTGTTTTATTACAGCCACGATACATACTATAATACCACAAAAATATAATACTGTACAGGAGATATCACTGAGGCACAAACAGGTTAAATAATTTGCCCGAGGCTACATAGCTGGTGAGTGACCTGGGACCTGAATTCAAGCCAGAAAGTCTGACCCATAATCTTGTTCCTAATGACCACATGATGCAGCCACTCTACTCATTTCCATAACTTTTCCCAAAACCTCTGTGAAATATAACATTTTGGCTTATGAAAATAGCTGTCTTACTGCCCTCTAAATACATGTTTGGAAAGTTTTTTGGGAAATTCACTCAAATTCCTGTCATTAAATGCATTCTGTTTTTATATTTTTCTCTGTACTTAGAGAATATATACTGTTTCATACCTTAGACTAAATGGCTGACACCAGAGCTGAAAAGAAAAGCACTGAAGACCCATGTAATACATTTTTAACAAAGCTATTTAGAATAAGGAGACAAGCTAATCACCTTTTCATATTCCTCTTCAGAGGGATTGTATTTCCTCAGCCACTCGGCAAGTGGTTTATCTTTAAAGGATCCAGTCACACCATATTCCACTTGGATTTTCCTGAGGGTATCTGAAGCAGGAACCAGCTCCACCATGCCTTAAACAACAAAACATTAAGCTATGTGAAAATATCTTCCAAAAGTAAGCCTTTAAAATATTTATAGCTTTCAGCTCTGGCTGGTGTGGCTCAGTTGGTTGGGCATCGTCCCATGCAGCGAAAGGTTGCCAGTTTGATTCCCAGTGAGGGCACACACCCAGGTTACTGGCTCAATCCCTGGGCATGAAGGAGGCAGATGATTGGTAATACTCTTTCACACTGATGCTTTTATCTCTCCCTCTCCCCTCTTCCCCTCATTCCTGTTTAAAATGCACGCGCGTGCGAGCGCACACACACACACACACACACACACACATACACACACACACACCACATATATTTAAGAAGCGTAGCACAGAGCAGAACACAAAGTAAGCACTCAATCATTTCTTAGAAACAATATCTATATAATAAAAGCCTAAGTGAGCATTATGGTGCAAGGACCAGAGCAGTTGGTTGCTATAATGTGCATTGACCACCAGGGAATTGACGCTCAATACAGGAGCTGCTCCCTGGTGGTCATGTACTCCCACAAGGGGAGCGCTGCTCAGTCAGAAGCTGAACTCAAGGCTGGTGAGTGTAGTGTCGGGGCAGGAGCCTCTTCTGCCTCCAGGGCAGCTGCTCCGGGGCAGTGATAAGGAGCAACGAGCCTAGTGGTAAGGAGCAGTGAGCAGGTGGGTGGTAAGGGTCCTGAACTGCGAGAGGGCGTAGGCTGGGCTGAGGGACACCTACCCCGCACCCCCCCTCCAGTGCATGAATTTCATGCACCAGACCTCTAGTAAAAAAATAAGAACAATTAGATTGTCTCCAAAGTTACATGGAATTCCATAAACAGAAAGAGGTTCACATATATGCAATAAGTGTGTCACAGAAAAACTAATATACTAAGATGGTAGGCTATTGTTGAAGAATTTTACTTGATAAAATTTCCATCTTACAAGACATATGAAAAACAAACAGCAAGAATTCTTAAATTGATTGGATTTCCTTTTTGACAAGACAAAATTTGTACATCCTAACCTGAGGGGGGAAAGTTACAAGGCTCTCATGTGGCCCTCATGGATAAAATGGTGAAATGTGGAGTGGTTGACACCACAACCAAATCAGTAAGTAACCAAATAAAATATAATACCCACAGATTGAGCAATCACTTGAAGGGAAATCTCTAGTGACTCTGTCACAAGGGCTGGTGCTTGGCCCTTTCTTAGTAAACATGTTTTCAAATGACTTAGCAAAAGCAACAAAATATCTGTTCTTCAAATCCATTCATAACACAAGCTAAGAGGTTCAATGACATAACAAAACTCAGATTTTAAAAAGAAACAATAGGTTGAAAAGTAATAGATCAAATATAATAGAAAGTTAATAGTGAATGTCCTATACTTGGGTCTAAGAATAAAAATGTACAAGAGCAGAATAGCTAAGACATGGTTTAGGAGGAGATGGTTTTATTAGTTAACTAGAGGCCTAGTGCATGAAAATTTGTTCACGGGGTGGGTTGGGAAGGGGGCTCTCAGCCCAGCCTGCACCCTCGCACAATCTGGGACCCCTTGGGTAGGACCCCTAGATGTAGCCTGAGATCAGGGCCTATCGGGGCTTTCCTTCCCCCAGCTGCAAGCAGCTGCCCTCAACCCCGCCGTTGCCATTGGTGGTCTCCCTCTGCAGAGGACAGGCTGGGGTGTGATGGCTTGGCTGACCTGGGCCTCCCTCTTCCTTTGCTGGGGGGGCCAGCCCTGCAAGGGACTGTCTGGCTACCTGATCGCCCCTAACCACTAGCTTGCCTACCTGAACATCCCTAACTGCTTGTCTGCCTACCTGATCTCCCCTAACCCCTCTGCCTGCCTGATTGCCCACCTGATTGCCCCTAACCACTTCCTTGAGGGGGGGTGGGCCCAGGCTGTGAGGAACCGTGGTGGTCTTGTCTCTGGTCGTTTCCGTCATGACGCCTCTGGCCTTTTATTATACAGGATAAGCTCCATTTAAGTAACAATTTGCCCCCATTCAGCATTTTACAAAATCTAGGTGTCATTCTTAGAGACTATAAATCAATCACTTGAGCCCTTTACAAAGAAAACAAGGTGATAAAGTACTTTAAAGTCACATATAACAAATCGCTGAAGAACTCGAAATTCGGGATCACAACAGGTCATCACCAAGAAGGATTACATGAAAGCCTATGAATAGAACTGGAACTGGGTTAGAGGAAATCAGGACTCAGTTCCCATTTATCTGAATACAAGGAAGAATTTTACAGTTATGAGAGCTACCCAGGACATAATGGACTATCTTAAAATACAGTGAATTCCCTTCACTATAGGCATAAATTGAATGGCCAATATTAGAAAGATGATTAAATAAGATAATCTTTCAAGTGACTCCCTAGTGGCTATGATTAGAATCTGAAAAGCATTTCTCATTTCCATTAACCATAGGTGAGCTTTCTCTCCTTTAAAACCCACAGCATTGCCTCTGTAATTATTTTTAGAGCTTTTAGCTTATTAAAGCATTTTCTAATTACTTGCATGTCTTCAATTGCTTCCCTCTAAAATATAAGCACTACCTGCCAATAGCATTCTGCAGATGGTAGATCCACAACAAACATTTGCTGAATAAGAATAATGATAATAGCTGTGATTTATTAATCTAATATGCATCAGATACTAGTGTATTTTACATTCATTATCTCATTTAATTATCACAATGCTTCTATGAGTGTAATACCATTATTATTCACATTTAACATATGTGGAAAGGAAAACATATTCAAGAAATAATAAGATGAAGTTTCTTCTTAGTAGAAAAATACTTTGTAACCACTATTTCATTTTGTAGTAATTAAATCAAAGTTGGCTTATCTTAGACATGGCCTTAATTATAAGTCAAAAACTAAAGACCATAAAGTTCTTACTGGGTCAACAAATAAACACCTTTGGTTACTGCAAAGCATTTATTAGGGCTACTCACTGAATTATTTAATCATGAGCAAATGAATCAATAAAAAAACACTAAATTAACGTAAGAAATAACAGATCATAGTGCACCAGCATCAGATTCCTTAGGGAAGGGACACTGAGTTAAGTTCATGAAGAAAAAAACACAACACCAGGACACAGCTAACAAGTTTACCTCGATCTCTGCCTGTTGAGAGACATTTGAAAATCACCATCCTCAGATCTAGTCCTTCTTTAAGCCAGATTTTGTCCATAATTTTTATCATCTGTAAAGCTAACATATCCTGCCGAAGATCTTCACCAACCTTAAAATCAAGAAAACAAAATGAAACTTGTACCTTTCTGAAAGACTCACATACTATAAAGGAGAGGAGAATAGTGAAAAGGGTTTAGAATGAGATTAACATCAACCAAAGACCTTGTATGCATATATGCATAACCCATGGACACAGATGATAGGGTGGTGAAGGCCTGAGGTGAAGGGAAGATTCTAGGGTGGGGCTGGAGGGCATTAATAGGGGGGAAAAGGGGACATATGTAATATTTTCAACAATATTTTTTTTTTAAAGAATGAGATTAGCATAACTGCCTTTTAATAATTTTTCTGCAGCATTCAGAGACAGTTACTTAAATTCTTCATGTCTAAGTTTCCTAACTGTACACTTCAAAGGTTGGGTTTTATGGTTTATGAATTATATTCAATTTTTAAAAAGAGAAATATGGCCCTAGCCAGTTTGACTAGGTGGATAGTGTCGGCCTGTGGACTAAAGGGTCCCAGGTTCAATTGTGGTGAGGGGCACATGCCCGGCTGCTCATGGTGTTGCAGTTTCCCACTACACAGCTTTAGGGGTACCATTCACATAGTCTGTGTGAAAGACGTTGCCTGGGATTATGATGTGCTCAGCCAGAATAGCAGCAGCTCTAGCCTACAGATACATTTATTCCCAAATCTGTTTGGGAACAGTTTATGTCAGTGACAATCTTACACATACTTATTCAAGTTAATTAAATATTAAATAAACAAAATTACTTTTGTAATTATGGAAAAGGAATTTGAAAAAAAATAAAGTAACCTTATTTTGCTCACCTTAAACATGACATTAATTTCTTCCCCCATTGGATCATTATTCACCATTGTGACCTTTAAGGGCACAGCATTAGAACTGAAGAAAGAACACGACTACAAATGCAACACATTGAGTATTAGAAATATAACAATGGAATAAAAATAGTGTAAGATTTATATTTGCCTAGGCATTTCTCCTTTCATTTGTTTCTCTGAATTATGGCAAACGAAGTAACACAGGAGACTTGCTTTTTAGATAATCTGGCAGATAAGCGGCATATAAAAATACTTTCTGAAACTTAAACATAGCATATATGAGTAAAAGATTATTTACTACTTTTTGAGCAGAGAAGCAAAATCTTAAAAACCTGAGACAGCACTTGGCATGGGCTCGGTTGAAATATCATCCCATATTCCAAAAGGTTATAAAATCAATACCCAGTCAGGACACATACCTAGGTTGTGGATTCTTATTCCCAGCCGGGGTGTATGCAGGAGGCAACAATCTATGTTTCTCTCTCACATTGATCTCTACATATCTCTCTCTCTTTTTTTCAACATATCCACAAGTGAGGATTAAAAATAATAATAACTTAAGACAAAAACTTAAACTTATTATTATTAAAAATTTGAGGATTATCTCTCATCATTGATGTTTCTATCTCTCTCTCCCTTCCTCTCTGAAATCAATCCTATATAATAAAAGCTTAATATGCTAAGTGTCCATTCGTTCGACTGGTTGATCAGTTGCTATGACGCACACTGACCACAAGGGGGCAGATGTTCTGACTGGTAAGTTAGCTTGCTGCTGGGGTCTGGCCAATTGGGACTGGGAGAGATGGGCCGGACATGCCCTGGAGCCCTCCCATGATCCCTCCCTGGCTGGCCAACCTCCTGCAGTCCCTCCCTGGCCCTGATCATGCATTGGTGGGGTCGCTTGGCCAGGCTTGTGCCCTCTCGCAATCTGGGACTCCTTGGGAAATGCCAGAAAGCTGGTTTGGGCCCAATCCCTGCAGGCCAGGCCGAGGAACCCCACCTGTGCATGAATCTGTGCACCTGTGCACTGGGCCTCTAGTAAAAATATATCTTATAAAAAAAAATAAAAAAAAAGACAGTGAGCCCATCTTAAAGATAAACAATACAACAAAATCAAAGGGGAAAATATCATTCTGTCTCCAAAAGACATAATTATACAAGTCAGGCATTCACTGTTAAATTTCAATGAAGAGTAGCCATGTCAACTAAAACAAAACAAAAATTCAACTCTGAAACTTCATTAAGGATAGCTGTACCGTGTGGCCTTTCAAAACCACAAACTCTAATGAATGAATGAATTGGTTGCTTTTGCTGAACTCATGGTAGAGAAAAGCCACTATTTGTATTACTATTAGCCCAGTTCAAAATACAATTACTCAAGGTTGACCACCACTGAACTTTACTTAATTTAAAAAAAAAATAATAATAAAAAAAAAATATATATATATATATGTTTTTCTTGATTTGAGGGAGAGGGAGAGGGAGAGAGAAAAACATCAATGGGCTGCCTTCTGAAGGCTCCCTACTGGGAATCTAACCTGCAACCTGGGCATGTGCCCTGACCAGGAATTAATCTGGCTACCTTTGGTGCACGGAAAGACACTCAACCACCAACTGAACCACACTGACCGGGCTTACTGAATTATTTTTTCATGGCTCTAAAAAGTGCTTAAAGCCCTTGCCTGTTGAGCATTATCCTGTCTACCGAGAGGTCTCTTGTTTCTATTCCTGGTCAGGGCACATGCTCGGATTGCAGACTTGATCCCTAGTAGGGGACATGCAGGAGGCAACCCATCAATGTTTCTCTTTTTCCCCTCCCTCTCCTTTTCCCTCTCTCTAAAAATCAATAAAAACATCAATCTATGCAGGTTTTACACTCATTTGCTTTAAGCATACCTGCCCATTTCTCTTCTTACATATTTTGAAATGTAATATGAACTTACATAAGTATTTTATTTGTTACCTTGATATTTAATTCTTTTGCCACAAGACTTGGGTTGAGAGGGAGACGACATTTATTTCTTAGAAAAAAGGACTGTACTCGTTCCATACTCCTTTGGAGCACAACCTAGGAAAAAGAGATTGATACTGTATGTACATAACGAAAATGAAGGCCTATTTTTAAGACACAAAATTAAGAAGCAGACCTAATTTTTAAAATGCCCATTTGTAAAACGTTGCTAAGAGGCTTAATTTTTACTATAAAAAAAAAAATTAGAATGGGCAAAAGTTATAAACATAGGAGGGAAAGTGTGTATATTCATATTTAACATATTAGTTAAAACTCACTACAAGCCAAATGAACAGAAATTAAACAAAAGGGAGATAGAAATACTAGCAAAGGGCAAAAACTTAACACACTAAAGTGCATTGCAGGACTGCTTAAAAAAAGAAAATATATAAACAACCTACAAAGAGAAATTAATGGTTCATAATTTATTTTACAGGTACCTTGTAATATTGTGTACCTATTAAGAAACATGAATATTTATGTACTGACGTGAATTCCCCAAGATAAAGTAAAAAGAGCAATTCACAAAAAAAAGTATAATTGCTGAAAGAAATTAAAAATCTAAGTAATAAGACATCCCATATTCATGAATTGAAACTAAGATTGCAGTATTTCCCAAATCAATTTACAGATTCAACACAATCCTTATCAAAATTCTAACTGCTTTTTTGCGGAAATAGGCAAACTGACCCTAAAATACATATGGAATTGCTACAGACTTCCAAAGAGCTAAAACAATCTTAAAAAAGAACTAAGTTGGAAAACTCATATTTCCTGATTTCAAAATATACGACAAAGCTACAGTAAAGAAAATATGGCATAAAATAGCCATATAGATCAATGGACCAAAATTGAGAGTTCAGAATTAAACCCATTTATCTATGGTCAACTGATTTTCAAAAGTATGTTGAGCTCATTCAATGAAAAAATAGCCTTTTTAACAAATGGTGATAGGACAACTGGACAACCACATGTAAAAGAATGAAGTTGGACCCTTATCTCATGCCATATGAGGAGTGAGTAGTCAGTGGGTACATGGAAATGTCCTGGAATCAGATTGTGGTGATAATCGTACAACATTGAGAATGTACTAAATGTCAATGAATCATACACTTTAAAATGGTTAAATGGTGAATTTTATGTTGTGCAAAACTCACCTCAACAACAATATATACACATATTTTTGTAAAAGTATTTTTAATCCCCCCAAATTTTATATATACTTAAGTGTATATATGTGTAAATAAAAAAAAAAATGATCAAGAAGGAAACACAGCAAACTGAAAAATAGATAATTACAAGGAGAAAATAAATCTGAAAAAAATTAATTTTTGTATTCTATAAAACTTCTTCATTATTTGGATTTTTTAAACAATGGCACCCAGTCATAGTTTTATTATTTTTACAGTTACAAAAGTTAAAAAGCAAAATAATTGGAAAAACTCGAGAGAGCAATTTTAACCAGAAGGAATTAATAAGCATGGGAATTAAAAAGCACTGATTTTCTTATTTAGGTTGTGAAATCTTTTCCTAAAGTACCTTGAAACTCATCTGCCCCAAAGAGCATATTGGCTATTTATTGACAAAGAATAACAACTTCACTTATCAGCACTGTAAAGATCCTTTAATATCAGAATATTTATGTTCCCTCTTATGGGTACATACCTGTCTGGTTGATCCACTAGCCTGCTTTACTTTTTCTGCTACTCCTCCTAAAAGCTGTACAAGTTTTGTCTGCTTCAAGAGTTCTTCTCTGAGTCCTTTTCCTCCTACTGAGAGGAGAGCACCCAAAACATGTTCATACCGGGCACCAAACTGTGCATCATGCAGGGCATCCTTGAGGAGCCTAACAGAGCAAATATTTATCAGCCACTTCTGAAAACTGGATGAACATCTCTCAAAAATCAATTCAACAGGTTCAATTTTAGTCATCCAGAAATTTATTTTAAGTCATATAAGCAAGTAAAAGTTCATTCATTATCATAGAGCTCTAACATGCCAAATATCTTAGTTTGGTTTTTGTTGTTTTATTTCTAAGAACATAAATATTTAGCTTCTTTATAATAATGCATTTATAAAACATCTGGCATCAATAGTAAGCTGTCTGGTCATACCATTCTATCAGAGTATAAATACTAGGAATGGAAATAAAGTACTAAAGAAAACGTAAATCTTACCAATATAAACTGTGTGCTATTTGTATATTTCCCAACGCCCTTGACAGAAGGAAGCGTACTAATGAACTGTTCAAATAAATTTCATATTTCAAAGCCTATCCATAAAAGAAAAATAAGAATTACTAGTGGTCAAACACATACTACACTGTTAGGAATAAATTATCAAAAAAGAAATTATATAAAGTTTATTCTTACTGATGAAAAATGATACTGACAAAAATGAAATATAAATTAACTTAGGCTAAATTAATAAAGTCAATCAGAAAAGTATATACCTGGGCATTACTTCCATTAGCTGTATTTAAATGGCCAGGAAAGAAAAAGGAAAGTTTAAGTCTAATTTATTCTGAGAATCTAAAAAGTTAAACAATTAAAAATCCAGGTACAGGCAGGCCGGTGTGGTTCAGTGGACTGAGTGCCATCCCATGCACTGGTTCAATTCCTGGTCAGGGAACATGACCAGGTTGCAGGCTTGATTCCCAGTAGGGGGCGTGCAGGAGGCAGCCAATGGATGTTTCTTTCTTTCCTCTCTGTAAAAATCAAAAACTTATTTTTTAAAAATCCAGATTTTTAATAATCTGAGTGGCCAGATTATGATGATCTCTGAACGCACAATAATCTGGCCACTCAGTGTATTTGTATTTCAAATGGGTACCAAAAGATGTTGGAAGCCACCCATTGTCCTCACAGGCAGAGAGGTGTGGACAAGGAACCTGGAAGGCTGGTCAACGTTGAAGCTTTGAAAGGTCAGAGCCAACCACCCACTGTCTAGTTGAGACAATGATAGCTAAAGCAACATCCACGTTTTAGTCTTTTTTTTTTTTTTTTTTTAATATATTTTATTGATTTTTTACAGAGAGGACGGGAGAGAGAAGATAGAGAGCCAGAAACATCGATGAGAAACATCAACCAGCTGCCTCTTGCACACCCCCCATTGGGGATGTGCCCGCAACCAATGTACATGCCCCTGAGCGGAATCGAACCTGGGACCTTTCAGTCCGCAGACCGACGCTCTACCACTGAGCCAAACCGGTTTTGGCCCACGTTTTAGTCTTAATGTAATTTCTTGCTGATTGGCTATTATTGGAATTGCCTGACTAAAGGCTATGGGTGTATCTCATAGTCTTAATAAAGGGGATAGCAAGGCCAGAGGGGGGTGGAGTCCTTCCCCTTGAGTTGGGCTCCCACCTAGCCCCCAAAATTTCCAAATTAATATTTTCTAGTCTCTTTCATTTGCATGTGGCCTCCTCCAGAGCCCAAATCCTGAACCATGCGGGACAAGAAAGGGATTCACTACAAAAAAGTATTCTAGACTTTTGTGGGAGATCAACCACCTATTTGCCCTCAGCCAGTGCAAAGGGGAAAACTGGATCAGGTGCATGATTTATAGTGACTTCGATACCAAATAAATGGGTACTCAAGAGAAGTACACTGAATGGCCAGATTATTATGCATTCAGAGATCATAATAATCTGGCCACTCTGTGTGTGTGTGTGTGTGTGCATAAAATATTCAAGTGGAGCAGCTGATAATAGTAGAAACAAAATTCATACTAAATCCAAATGTAATGTACCTCAACATACCTACTACAGAAGTACTTTAAAAATATATATATATTTTATTGATTTTTTTTTTTTTTTTTTTTTTTTTTTTTACAGAGAAGAGAGAGGGATAGAGAATTAGAAACATCGATGAGAGAATCATTGATCAGCTGCCTCTTGCACACCCCCAACTGGGGATGTGCCTGCAACCAAGGTACATGCCCTCAACTGGAATCGAACCTGGAACCTTTCAGTCCGCAGGCTGATGCTCTATCCACTGAGCTAAACCGGTCTCGAGAAGTACTTTTTATCCAAACAGAAAAGGGAATCCCTTAGCAAGTTCCCTACTCATAAAAACTGGGGGGGGGGAAGAGTAGGGAGAGTAGGAAACGGAATGAAAAATACACCTGTACAAACTGTGGAAGAAGATCTGTCAGCTCATCATCACTAATAGCCTCTATCCAGGTCACAGCTTGGGACCTCACTTCCTGATCAGCAAATCTAGAAAAGTAAAACAAAAATCAAGATTTGACGGTAACTTCTAATGAAGCTATATTTCCTGAAAACACAATCTCAATCTATTCCTGACAATGAATGCTCAAAAACAGCTCTTTATTTAAAAGCAATGTGTTTCTTCTTTTTTTAGGAAGAAAATCTTCCTAAAAAAACCATGCTATTGAAATTTTATTAGGGGACTGGTTTAGAAACTTTAAGCTTATGAAAATTAATTTTGGTCCACATCATAAAATGTAATGAATTATTATAAATTTACTTTATCCTCTCTTTAGGTTAGTTTTAAATATGACATGCCTTTTTAATAACTTCAATGAAAAGGTATGTTAGTAGAAATACACATTTACACACTTATATTGTATTGAATTGCTTTCATGCTGAAACAAAGGGAAGTATTCCTGCAACATAATACTTTACTGAAAAAATTAACAATAAATAAAGCAAATAAATTAATTCATAGTTGACTTACTTCAAATCAAGAAGTTCCAATGCAGTCAGTGCGTCTAATGGAGGCCACTGGTGAAGCAATGAGTAAATTTTGGCAAGATTAACCCACTTCCAGTTTGGGGCACTTGCTAGTATTTTAGGAAGACAATTTGGATGTTTGAGGCAATAATAACGTTTCTCCCACAAAAAAGCTTTGTCTTCTTTAGAAAGTCTGCATAGATAACAGAACTACATTACTCCTCACTGATATCATAATAGTTATAGTTTCAGCAATTTAAAATGCAAAGGAGAAATTCATTTATTTTAGGGTGGCCACTTCTTGGTAGCATCATTAATACTAATTTGGGATAGAAAAACACAATGTACAACAAACACCACTAATTTACCCTAATTGGGGAATAGAAAGAAATCATTTTGACTTAATAAGAGAGTCTTACTTATGAAAATGAAGGATAATTCAGTACAATAAGTATTTATTAAGCTCTAATCAGATGCCATGCACTAGAAATCAGAGTTGGATAAGCAAAATCCGCCCTATGAGCAAGGATTTTATCCATTTTATACAAGTAAAATGAAATGTCATGTAACACCCAATGCATTATAAAATTTTAGAAGTTGATTATATAGCTCAATTGAGGAATATTTAAAAAGACAAAGACTTGTTTTGGAGATTCCAATTTAACACTAATAACAAATGTTTATGTGAATGAATAATTTCACTATTTTATTACCCATCCATTTGTATATATAATACACGCACTGAAATATGGAATACTGAAAAAATTTCAAATATTGAAAAAAAGTACACAGTGGGTCTCCCTTCTTCTAATTCCCCTCCCAGTAGCAACTGCCTATACTTGAATATTCTATCAGAGTCCTTTTATATAGAAGCATCTACATGGGTGTATGTAGATCTTTTTTCTTTAATGGTAACATATTATACTATATCCTTGCTTTCTTCATTTAACACATCTGACATATTAGTACATTGCTATAACTTCACTTTTTTTTAATTAAATTATTATCTGTGTACATATCTTACCATTGCCCCCCGCTATAACTTCATTTTTATTTTTTATTTATTATTATTACTTTTTAATATATTTTATTGATTTTTTACAGAGAGGAAGGGAGAGAGATAGAGAGCTAGAAACGTCAATGAGAGAGAAACATCGACCAGTTGCCTCCTGCACACCCCCTCCCGGGGATGTGCCCGCAACCAAGGTACATGCCCTTGACCAGAATCGAACCAGGGACCTTTCAGTCCGCATACCGACGCTCTACCACTGAGCCAAACCGGTTTCGGCTATAACTTCATTTTTAATAGTTACATAATACTCTGTTAGATAAATGTACCATAATTTGACCCCCATTGATGGGACATTCCCTATCAGTTTTATAATAATTAAAATGCAATGAGCATCCTTATTTCAATAAGTAAATATAAAAGTGTTTCTTTCCTCTAATATATATAACTAACTGGAAATGGAATTGGTAGGTCACAGACTATACACATTGTGACCTTAATAGATTTTGCCAAATTGCCCCAAAAGCTCTTGAGAATTCCACCAACAATATAATCCCTTGTTTGTATATTCATCAACACTTTCTATGATGGGACATTTTAATTTCAACAATCTGATGTGTATGAAATGGTATCTTGTATTAATTTACATTTCCTTGATTAAATTTAAGCCTCTCCACATACTGAGAAATTGACATTTTTAAAATGTTTAAAAGCTATTGTATTTCTTTTCTTTTCTTTTTTTAATATATATTTGATTGATTTTTTTTTTTTTTACAGAGAGGGAGAGAGAGTTACAAACATCAATGAGAGAGAATCACGATCAGCTGCCTCTTGCACACCCCCTACCAAGGATGTGCCCGCAACCAAGGTACATGCCCTTGACCGGAATGGAACTCGGGACCCTTCAGTCCGCAGGCCGATGCTCTATCCACTGAGCCAAACCAGTTTGGCTGTATTTCTTTTCTAAAGAATTACCTATTAACATTCTTTGTCTAATTTACTACTGAGTTGTTTGTTTTTCTACTGGTATGAAAAGATTCTTTATACATTTAAGAAAATTAACCTACCCCTGGCCAGTGTGGCTCAATAGGTTGGGCATAGTTCTGCACACCAAAAGATTGCCAGTTCGATTCCTGCTCAAGGGCACATGCCCAGGTTGTTACAGATATAGAAATCTTTCCACACCAAAAATATTGCTAACTCATGAACTAAATCAGGACACTTTATAAACCATTAACTTGAGCTTTACATTGTAAGAGATAACCAGAATCAAAGGAGCATACCCAAATGATGAGTCTTTGTGAAGAATATCAAGAAGTTTCCCTTTTATATCATTTCCTAATGTTTCTAAGTTGTGTTGTTGTATAATACTTCGGTCAACTTGAGGACTGGTATAAAGGATATCATATGCTGGAGAAGGAAAATCAACCTTAAAAATTAAATAGAAGTTGATCAAATTACAGCTGAATAGGACATATATATATTTACCACATTAATTAATTTGTTTTTGAAAAAATTATTTTTTCTTAGCCATCAGGGTGAATTTTAGATTGTATATTGTAAATCAATGTCCTTTAGCTGAAAGTGATTACCATTGTTGGTAATTCTCAATAGCACCTATATTGCTTGGGATGGGTACAAGGGCATATTTTACTGTTTCTCAGAAATAGGAAATGATTTATTGACACTTAAATTTAAAATAGACTCTAAAGTTGAAACAAGATTGATTAGGGTTCTTTAATAACAACCAATACCATGGTATACATACACTTTTTATAAAGAAATTTAAATTTAAACCTCACCATATATCAAAAAGTAGCATTATCCTCTAAAGTCAACAAACATATCTTCTGGTGAAGATTAAAAAAAATAACAATAATACCATTACCTGTAACACTATTCTTTCCATCACATATCCTTTTTTGGGTATTGTTCCAGGCATAGGACTTATATGTGACGAAGTCCAAAGATATAGAAGCTTAGTTCCACATGTTAAAAACCTACACAATGTAAATAGAAGAATACTGTGGTTTTTATTTTAAAAATTCAAAACTCACAACACATAGTAATGAATTTGAAATGTTAGTATTCAAACATTTTTTAATCATGTTCTATATAAAAAAAGTCTTTAAAAACTTATCAGGAGGAATCACTTTCCATAGTGTACTAATCTTTAGGTAAATGAGTTAAAGTGTGGGAATTAGAACAAAGGAAGAGAGAATGAACATATCTAAGGGGGAATTGAGGATAAAACAGAACGTACTGTCTCCAAAACAATTCTATAAATACGAGGGTTGAAGGCTACTCTTTGAAGATCATTTACAAAGGAAATTTGTATTACTCAGCTGTGCCCTGACTTTTATCATAAGAACAAAAATATATGCCAAAAAACCAGTACCTATTTTGTGACAGCACCAATCATTTGAGAATTTTTATCAGTGCCCTGGACCAGAGGTCAGCAAACTTTACCTCTAAAGAGCCAGACAGTAAATACCCTGTGTTTTATGGGCAATCTTTGTTGCAGAGATTCAACTTTGCTATTATAGTGCAAGGTAGCTATGAACGACATTTAAACAAACATGTGCACTGTATTCTAACAATACTGCATTTACAAAAAGCAGGAGGTAAACTGTAGTATGCTGACATTTGCCTGAGACAACCAGTTTATGGCAATGAAGATACTGACGTATCTTTACACAGAAGAAATATCTGAAAGCTAACATGAGTATATATAAAAGCAGAAAACTTCAAGCTGCATTAAATTTTGTTCATTTTATTAAAATAGCAAATATCCTTTCCAAAGCTAGATTCTAGTCCTAATGTTTTCTCTTACAGGTTAACCTTTAAAATTCTGACACATTATATTCTGTCTCTTTTAGAACCACTCTCATCCCCAACTAGGTTAAAGTAAATTGCTATCCCATTATTTCATTTGCAGATACTTTTATAAATCTCAAAATGATAAACAGCTTTATTTTAAAATAAGTATAATCTTTGAGTGGTGGGCACATGGTGCAATATACAGATCTTATAACATAGAAACTCACACCTGAAACCTGTATGTTCGTGTTAACCAATGTCACCCAATAAATTTATAAAATAAGCACAATACCATTACCACTCCTATAATAATTAACAATAACTACTTAAAATAATCAGCTATCGAACAACATAGACTAATGAAGAACAAACCCAAGACAAGGAAGCATAGATCAGACTGTCAGACCTCAGAAGGAAGGTAGGAGAGGGTGGGGATAAGGGGGAGAGATCAACCAAAGGACTTGTGTGCATCCATTTGAGCCTAACCAGTGGTCACGGACAACAAGGGGGTGGGGGCATGCGTGTGGAGGGGTTTAGGATGGGAATGGGGGGATGAGGACAAATCTGTGATACCTTAATCAATAAAGAAATTTAAAAAAACAAAAATAAAAAATAATCAGCTATCTAGTATTCAAATTTCCCAGACTGTCTCAAAGTTCTTTTTATAGCTGGTTTGTTCAAGTAAGAATCCAAGCAAGGTCCAACACTTGCATGTGGTTGATAATGTCTTTTTAAATATCTTTTAATTCAAGAGTCAACGAAACTTCAGCCTATCATCTGGTTTCATTAATAAACTTTTATTATAACAAAGCCACACATTCACTTACATACTGTCTATCACTGCTTTTGCCTTTGTGACAGAGACTACATGACCTTCAAAGCCTAAATGACTTCTATCTGGTCCCCTTTACAGAAAAAGTTTGCCAATTCTTGTTTTAATCTATACATTCTTCCTATCTTCTTCCCCCTGCTGTTTGTTGAAGAAACCAGGTCTTTTGTTCTGAGAATTTTCCTTATCCTGAATTTTACTAATTGCATTACTCTGGTCATTTACCATATTTTCTGTAGCCCTGGTCAGTTTATCTTAGTTGTTAGAGCACTGGCTCCCAGACCAAAGAGCTTAGGGTTTCATTCCCAGGCTGGTCAGGGTGTGAATAGGAGGCAACCAATTGAAGCATCTCTCTCACGTTGATGTTTTACTCTCTCCCCTCCTCTCTCCTTTCTACGCTGTCTAAAAACCAATGGAAAAATATCCTCAGGTGAGAAAAAAAAAAAAAAGTTAGATCTAGAGAGGCTTGATCTGATTCAGGTGTAGTTATCTGGCAAGAATAGTTAATACTCTATAGGTGGTATTGTATACTACTTTCTATTGCCTCAAATAAACAGGCAAACATGCTTGGTTTATTTTTTTTTCTTTGGGGTTAATATAATCAGTTTACTTAGATGCTTTTAGTCTAAATCATCCATTATAAAGTTCCAGAAAAGCTAATCACTTAATGGTTTTAAGCAGGCATTCATATTCCCTACTTAAATCTATGGTTCTCAACCAAGAGTGATTTTTGTCCCCAGTATACATTTGGCAATGTCTGGAGACATTTTTGGTTGTCAACTGGGGTGCTACTGACATTTAGTGGGCAGAAGCCAAGGATGCTGCCAAACATCCTACAATGCACCAGACAATCTCCCACAATTATCTGGCCCAAAATATCAGTAGTGCCAAGACGGACCTAAATCTAACCCTGACCTAAATTATTTCAGTAAGAGTTGCAAAATTGTGATATTCTACCATTCCCTCTGCAATAATTAGCTGAGATGTTTCTATAAAGCACATTCTCACATCAATTATTTTGTAACCCTGAGATCTGTAAAGGAAGGGCAAGTTAAATGCCTGTTTACTTAAAAATTAGTTAAGAACTCATTTGTTACTTAGGCTGACCGAAATGCCTCTAAGTCACTTGGCTTTCATGACAGTGACTTCATCAGGTTGTATGCAAGTTGCACCTTAACACAAATTACTTAAAAATAATTTCAAGACCAGGATTTCTGATTACCATACTATAGCACATTAACTGAACTAAAGAACTGACACTTTGTTTCGGTGTATGTATTAACATAAAATCCTCTTCCCTCTTAATTTCTGAGTATTTTTTTAATGTTAAGTACTAACACTACCTAGACTACACTGCTTGGCAAAGTCTCTGCTTTAATATACTAACATGCATTATCGCTCTCCAAAATTTTACCATGTATTGTATGAAACATATCTCAAACTTTATTTAATTCATTTTTTTCCCATTTAGGAAGACTCTTTATGATCTCATGAAACATACTGTTACTTAAAACATAATTAAAATTGTCAGCTGAAAAGTCAGGTCAATTACACTATTCCTACTGACTGTTAGTAGACAAAGCTTAAAAGGAATTCCTTTCCCCTAAGTTTTTGTACCCATGTAGAACCTTTGGTGATTAAAGACCAGGGGCACATAGCAGTAAGGATATATCAGTCAGGCAGATAGGGAAAGAGAAGGGAATAATGTTCAGCTGTAAACTCCCTGAAATTTTAGAAGTATGGAATTGGGATGAGAAGAGGAAAGTGTAATTGTTTTAGTAATAGCAAGCATACTGAAAAGACCATAGTATCTATACTAATAAGAGAGAAATATGGTAATTGACCCTCATTCCACAATGCCCACAGCCAATCAAGAGAGAATATGCAAATGAGTGGGACAAAGATGGTGGTGGCCACGGAGCCCGCAGAAGTGGGTAGGAGGCTTGGGTTGCCCCCAACGACGGAGAAAGCCAAGCTTCCCGCCTGCCTGGGCCAGCCACTGAAGGAAGGGCCTGTGAGCAGCAGGCACAGGGCGGGAGGCTTGGGTCACCCAGGCCAGTGGCCAAGGGACAGGCCTGCAAATAGCCCTCAGCCCCTCACCCAGGCTGGCCATACCACTATCAGGGTGAGGGTCCCTGCTAGAGGGCATGGCCAGCCTGCAAACAGCCATCAGCCCCTCACCCAGGCTGGCCAGGCACTCCAGCAGGGACCTCCACCCTAAAGGGGGTGTGGCCAGCCTGAAAACAGTCCTCAGCCCCTCACCCAGCCTGCCACGCTCCCCTCCCCTCAGTGGCAAACTGCCCTAGCCCCTCGCACAGGCCAGCACCGTCCCCAGTCGGGACTCCACACCAATGGGGGCATGGCCGGCCTCAAATCACCATAGGCCCCTCGCTCAGGCTGCCCTGCCCCCCAAGGGAACCCTCACCCTGATCTGGGATACCCTTCAGGGCAAACCAGCTGGCCCCCACTCATGTACCAGGCCTCTATCTATACTAATAAAAGGGTAATATGCTAATTAGACTGAGAGACCTTTCAGGAAACCTTCTAGACATTCTTCTGGACAAAGCCATGGTGGCAGGGCCGAGGTAGTGGCAGTCAAGGACCAAGAGGGGAGGGCAGTTGTGGGTGATCAGGCCAGTGGAGGGAGCCACTGGGGGTGATTGGAGGGGGTTGGGGGGAAAGACAGTTGTGGGTGAGCAGGCCAGCAGGGTGGGGGCCACCTGGGGATGAGCAAGCCGTCAGTGGGGGTCAGTTGGGAGCAATCAGGCCATGCGGGAGTGGGGGGGGGGGGGTAGTTGGGAGTGAGCAGGCTGGTGGGGAGGGCAGGTGGGGGCGAGCAGGCTGGCAGTAGGGGCAGTTGGGGGTGATCAGGCTGTCGGGGGATGGGGGGGGAGAGGAGGAGCAGGTGGAGACGAGGCCAGAGACAGAGTGGTTAGGAGCAATCAGGCAGGTGAGCGGTTGGTTAGGAGCCAGCAGTCCCGGATTGTTCCACAGGAATCGGGCCTAAACTGGCAGTCGGATATCCCCCAAGGGGTCCCAGATTGGAGAGGATGCAGGCCTGACTGAGGAACACTCCCTCCCCTGTGCATGCATTTCATGCACTGGGCCACTAGTTATGTTAATAATATAGTGTTTGCATAAAATGACAGTAAACTGATTGTCGCTTTTATCCTAAACAATGAATGACAAATAGATATGAATACCCATATAGATATGATCAAACCATAGTAGAATAACTTTGGTTTCCTCTTATCTGACCTCCTTTTATCACACTGAAAAAATTGAGGCAGCTCATTATCTCATGTTTTTCATTATTCCCCACCCTGTTCTCTAGCCAATTTTGAGACTGCAGATGTGTCTGCAGTAACTCACCACCACAACTCAGTAACACTTACCGTTTAAAATCAAAGAGAGGTAAAGAAACTTTGCCCAAAGCTTCTGGCCCCTTTCTCTGCTTATTAGAATCAGGGGAACTTCCACTGCTCTGATTTAAAATTCCAAAAAGAGTAAGGTGAAGAAGTGATTCTAATGGCAATTGTGATATCTGGATGGGAAAAATAATTCTATGGGGGAGGAAAAGGTATTAATAGAAAAAAATAAATTAGATTGAACATGAAGATTAATTCTTTAATAAAACTGATAATTTTAGGTATTTTATTTGATGTATCAAATAATCTTTAATCCTCAGTCTCCTTTACTTAAGTAGCAAGCTTGGCCAAAATATACTATATAAAAACCTTGAACAAATTTTATTAAAATTTCAAATATATAGCATTTATTTCTTCAAAAATTTGTTAGCACCTTTATTTAAGACTTGCAATACTAATTTCTAGGCAAAATAGTAAGTCATTTTTATTTCCTTTAGGAAAAAGCAGATAAATATTGAGTATTTCTGATTCAGGATATATGTGTGCACCTATACATACATAAACAGACTATGTAGATGTTTACCAATATTTTTGGTGTTTTATTTTTTAGTTTAAAAGGACACATAAGGTCAGTTGTAGTCACTTTGAGGAGCCATGACATGGTTGAGTGTTGAAAAGAAAGTGAAATTTTTCACCTATATGCATTTTGTTTTATATGATTAGTTTCACAGATGTGTGTTATTTTTATAATTAAAAAAAATAAAAGAATAGGAAAACATTTAATAAATGCAGACTAAAAAATAGAAAGCTCTGCAATGGCCTATCTGCCTAAGTAATAAAAAGCATTTCCTTAATATTTAAAAAATATTAATAGTGCAAATATCATCTTATACATTGACTCAAGATAATTTTATCTGTTAACCAAAAACAAGGCTTCATATACAGTGTTATAGAATAAATACTAAACTAAGCAATGTTATAACATACCTAACACCTTTCTAGGATTACTCATAAATTTATGTTTTTAACTTGACAAAGTCTAGGAAGAATGGCGTATTTCTACAATATAACAGCATGTAGACTTGAAAGAGTATTTCAGATTTTTGAAATCAGAATTTCAGTCTGTTCTACAGAATCATATCTAGAAGAGACTTTAAGATGTCAGTAAGCATTTTATGAAAATTGAAATAAAAACTAGGATGCATACATGGAAAAAAAAGTAGACAGGCTATACTAAAAAAAAAATAAATAAAAAGCCAGAAATTTTACTTACAGTTCATCCCATTTAATAAGATAGAAGAAATTCTTATAAGTGCCAACCTTCTTTGATTGAATAGGTTTAAAAAGGTCTTTTCCATTGTGAGACAGGGAACATACCAAATAGTATTTTTCATAACTGAGGGGGAAAAAAGTTTAATTTCATTTTACTTGATAATACAGATCAAGTTAACTAATTTACTAATAAAGTTTACTTGATAATACAGATCGAATTAGCCATCCTTCCTAAAAATGACTATTATTTGAAATAATTTGGTCATCATTCATTTGAACTTTTAAAAAAAAATCTGAATCTGAAATTAACTACTACAAATTCTGTAAAATAGAGGCATAGCAAAGTATATACAGAAGGGAACATGTATCCCTACCTGCCAGTCTAAGGGGGCAAAATGATACCAGCTGGAAAATTTATCTAAATGTTGTGCTCGGTTAGTTATAAGCTTTAGATTTTAGTTGAATGACTGAGCAATTCTTCATTTCTAGATAAATTCTAGGAAGACAGAGCACAAACATTATCATCCCTAGCTGCCATTTTCCTTGGCTAAGGCACTGAAATAGTCAGTTAAGCATATGAACAGTGCATTGGTTTGACTTGCACTGAGTCAGTCTTTATTACAAGGCTTCTATCAATGGGGACAGACAGATGCTGTTATATTCTCGAATTACATAGCAACAATTTAGCTCATAATTGCCACAAGTAACTGGTTACATATAATAAGGCAATCTTGTAGAAGTCTTAGGTTCAATAAAACTACTGTACTAGTATTCTAACTTACAGGCTTAGACATTAACCATTTTGTTAATATATGTATTATAAATATAACATTTTAAAGATATGTTTTTATTGATTTTACAGAGAGAGAAAAAGAGAGAAAGAGAGACAGAGGAAGAGAGAAACACTGATGAGAGAAAAACATTGATTGGCTACTTCCTGCATGTCTCCTACTGGGGACCAAGCTCACAACCCAGGCATGCGCCCTGACCAGGAACTGAACCAGTGACCTCTTGGTGCGCGGGACAATGCTCAATCAACTGAGCCACAATGGCCAGGGCTATAAAATATTTTTTAAATCTAATCTCATTGGTTCACAAAACATCCCAAGCTAATGATTTGATTGCTTTTCTCAACCTCATACCACTTTATTACATTTATTTCTATCTTAATTATCATTGTCATTTTCTGTATTGTCTTCTACTAAGTATTTGTTCTCCTTAATAGTGTCCCTAAATTTATTTGTGTGTGTATGTAAGATATGGAGGGTATTATCCCTGTAACTAGTTAAAAGAATGAAATATCTTCAGACAGCAATAGTATACATTTATTTCTTAAGTATTTATTTTATTGATTGATTTTGAAAGAGAAAAACATGGATTTATTGTTTTACTTATTTATGGTTAATTCTTGTATGTGCTCTGACTAGAGATCAAACCTAAAGCCTTGGCATATCGGGACAATGTTCTAACCAACTGAAATACCCAGGCATGGCAGTACCCATTTAAATGCAAGTTCCAGGAAGGCAGGGTTTGCCTGCCTTTTTACTGCTGCATCTCTAGTAGTACGAATAACACTGCCCAGAGATGGCGCTCAGTATATATTTCTTGAATGAATTAATATACCACATTCAACTTGTTATTTTTTTATATTTCATTTTTTTATTTTATATAAAGCTCAACTTAAGCAGAATTTATGTTTGGTATCTCTTTTTAAAAAAATATATTTTATTTTATTGATTTTTTACAGAGAGGAAAGGAGATATAGAGTTAGAAACATTGATGAGAGAAACATTGACTAGCTGCCTCTTGCACACCCCGTATCAGGGATGTGTCCGCAACCGATGTATATGCCCTCGACTGGAATTGAACCCGAGACTTTTCAGTCTGAAGGCCGACGCTCTATCCACTGAGCCAAACCGGTTTTGGCATATGTTTGGTACCTCTTTACTAGGTTTTACCTTATTTTATAAAATTAAGCTATTATGAAACAATTTAATTTTAAATATTCAGTTCAGACTTTTCAATTTATTAGTCATTTGCAAATAAATTAGTCAATCATGGGATTGACAAAAAAATCAGAAAGGAAAAACCTAAATTAAAATAGAGCCCTGGCCAGTGTGGCTCAATTAAATAGAATGTCATCCCATACACCCATTCCCGGTGAGGGCACACACCTGGGTTGCAGGCTCAATCTGCAGTCAGGGCATGTACAGGAGGCAACCCATTGATGTTTCTCTCTCACATCAATATCTCCTCCACCGCCTTTCCCTTCCTTCTAAAAATCAATGAGTATGTCCTCAAGTGAGATAAAAACAAAAAATTTTAAGAAATCTGCTCTTGCTGACTTCAAAGTCTAGCAATCAATAAACTACTAAAAAGAAGAAAAAGTCTAATCCCATTACACTGTTCCAAATTATCGTGGTTCTAAAGGAAAGGCAAAAGAATTCGTCATAAGTTAGACCAATTTATTAATCAACATTTGCCCTAGTAAGTTTAAACATTTTCTTAAACCCCCCCCCCTTTTTTTTGCATATAGTGAGAGTGATATTTTTTTACTATAATAGAATAGCTTCAAAAATCCCTGTAATTTTATAAAATCCACTATGGTATCTGGTGGTTCTTTTTTCATCCATGTAAATACCAAGATGACAGTGGATGCTGACATTTTACAAGACTAGAACTAATTTCTAGGTAAAGCTGTATATATATTCTTTTAAACAGTTACTTACTTTGATACCCAGTTACTTGAAATTCCATGTGCGGCAAAAATAGTAAACTGGAGCTGTTCTGTTGCAGTCCATGCTTCCTTGGTGTTCCTGTTACTCTGAGCCCAATCCAAAGAACTCCTACCAGAATTTCCATGGAGTTTCACAAGATCATAAATTGCTGCAGTTAACTGACCCATGCTTACTTGAACTGGATTTTCAGGATTCAGTGAGCCTAGATGTAAAAAAATTATTAATATAATTCTCTGAAAAAGCAATAATTATTGCTAAAATATAAAGAACTTAAAGACATACATACCCCTAGTTGAACTCTTATTAGGGTCTCCCTTTCCAGAAGTCACCTGTTTACACATACAAATTAGTAAAACAATTGCTATGACATAACATAAAATGTTTACCTTTCACTTCAATACATTAAATGCTATATCAAAGAAACCTTTCCCAGGGGGAAACCTCCCAAAAATGTCTGCAGAATTAATCAATCAAAAAAGTAGCCGAAACCGGTTTGGCTCAGTGGATAGAGCATCGGCTTGCGGACTGAGAAGTCCCAGGTTCGATTCCAGTCAAGGGCATGTACCTTGGTTGCCGGCACATCCCCAGTAGGGAGTGTGTAGGAGGCAGCTGGTCAATGTTCCTCTCTCATCAATGTTTCTAGCTATCCCTCTCCCTTCCTCTCTGTAAAAACTCAATTAATATATATATATATATATATATATATATATATATATATATTTTTTTTTTTTTTTTTAATTAAAAAAAATTAAAAAAGTAAAACCTGCCAAACTGGTTTGGCTCAGTGGATAGAGTGTTGGCCTGCGGACTAAAGGGTCACGGGTTCGATTCCAGTCAAGGGCATGTGCCTTGGTTGCGGGCAAATCCCCAGTAGGGGGTGTGCAGGAGGTAGCTGATCGATGTTTCTCTCTCATCGATGTTTCTAGCTCTCTATCCCTCTCCTTTCCTCTCTATAAAGAAAATCAATAAAATATATATATTTTTTAAAAGTAAAATCTTCCAACCAAATAACAGATAATTTTTGGTATCAAGAAAATCATAGTATAATTTTATTAACCAATGTCATCCTAATATATTCAATTAAAAAAATTCAGAGTAACTGAAAATTACTGCAAAATATATAAACTCAACAAAATCTGCCTCATTAAACTAGATTAAAATTTGAAACCCAAAGTGATAAATATTCTAATACAGTATCTTATTTTCCATTAGTTGCTCTATTATTAGCATGATAAGAATAGTCTTAAAGAAACTAGAATTCACTTGGCCAGCATGGCTCAGTGGTTGAGCATCCAACCAATGAACAAAGAAGTCACAATTCGATTCCCAGTAGGGCACATGCCTAGATTTTGGGCTCAATCCCCAGTGGGGGCATGCTAGAGACAGCCAATCAGTGATTCTCTCTTATCATTGATGTTTCTATCTCTCCCTCCCTCTTCCTTCCTCTCTGAAATGAATTAAAAAGTATATATTTTAAAAATATAAAAAGAAAACTGAAACTATAGTGTCTCAAAATAGCTCTTATAATGATTTAAATTGAGCTCTCCTCATACTCTTTGCTTCTTTATTCATTAATATAACAAACAGAAACTTCAAACATTAAGACCATGGTAGTTGATCACCTCTAAGTGATTTTTAATTTATTTTTAAATTTTTTAAAACAAGCACATAAGAAAATTTGGATATACCCAAATTTCTGTTTACCATATGGACAAGATCTCTGAGAATAAATGGATTGAGCTAACTCCTAGATTAGGGGTGTCGAACTCAATCAGAGAAGGGGCCAAAATCTAAAATCCAGCCTAAATCGCGGGCCGAATGGTTTACTGAACAGTCATAAACTGTCATTGTGATGGAAACGCAGCGGAGTGCAGTGATGACAGCGTGGTGCGGGACACATTGCAAGGCCTGGCGGGACGGATTTGGCCCGCGGGCCTTGTGTTTGACACATGTGTCCTAGATATATGTTGAGGGGCATACTATTAACATAACTTTTAACTATCAACATAACTTATTGTGTCTTGCAATCAACTTTCTCTCATCCTTTCAGTAAAAGCTACGAACATCCCTATTAACAGAGAGGCTGGGGAGAACTTTTACTAAAAGCAACAGTATCCTATCAAAAGAGGGAACCTAACCCGGTTTCCACTGAGATAGTAAGTCAGTATTATTGAGACATTTGGGTCTTCTCAACAAGAAGGAGATATAGTCCAAAATAGGACTCCCCCATTGGCAGTCATAAACATTCCATCCAAAGGGAGAAATGGTACCTTCTACCATCTCGGTCCTTCATGCCAACCAAATCATTTATGTAGAGAGTTCCCGCTCTACATAAAAAAGGTTCACAGTTTGGCATCCACCTATTCTATGAAAGCTGTCACAAAACTTCCAAGGCAGCCCTATCCTCTTAGGAATTCCTACCTTACCAGGTAAGTCACCCAATCAAGTGTAAAGCAAAGCCCTGGCAGGTGTGCTCAGTGATTAGAGTGTCAGCCTGTGTACCAAAGAGTCTCGGGTTCAATTCCCAGTCAAGGGCATGTACCTGGGTTACAGGTTTAATCTCAGACCACTGGTGGGTTGTGTGTGGGAGGCAACTTATTGATGTCTCTCATATCTCTCTCTTTCTAAAAATAAAAATTCAATGGAAAAAATATCCTCAGATGACGATTAACAACCCCCCCACACACACACAAAAAAGAGTAAAGCCAAAATTAAAATAACATTTTTAGTAGAAGCAAAAACCTGCCAGTATAAGCAGTAGATAATCACTTAAGTACTACATATCTGCATGTAATAAAATGCTAGTTACTAAAAAATACTCACATCAGCACTTTTACTCCTTGGAAGATTAACTGCTCTCTTTAGCTTCTTTACTGATTCTGTAATGGCCGGAGTCTCTACACCATCTAAAGCACTACAGATTTTTCTTACAGCTCTAATCACTTGATCTACTGCTCGGTGCTGGTTCTTAAAAAAAAAAAAAAAAAAAAAAAGTAAAATAAACATAAGTACATAGAATTTAAAGGATCAATTTCAGACATGAAGCCAGAAACTAGATATTTCTGATGTACCTAAGAACAAATATTCTTTACTCTTTTGTGGTGAAAAAGAAAAAACAAACAAACCAGCATTTCAATGATATAGTTTACTTTAAAGTAGAAAAAAGCAGGCCTGGTTAGTTTTCATTTGCCTAACAATTATTTATATGCAAATACCATTAGTTTCATATTAGAATAAAAATAATAGTAATAAATTATTAACAAATTACTAAATCTCTAAAAAAAAAAGTGATCTTTTTTATTTTCTTTGGGAATAATTTCCACATAAAAAAAAAAAAATAACCCTTCTCTCCATCCTATGAAAATTTGGTATAAAAAACCAAGTTCTTTACAGGCTGGTTACATATTAATAACACTGAACAACAGTTACTAGAAATTAGCCAATTTTAAAGCATCATTTGCATTTATAAAACCATCATTTAAAAAATTCCGTTAGAAGGAACAACTTCCTTGAGGAAAATCCCTATGAACTATATTCAAGTATAGTTTATTCACCATGATTCAAAAGTATGTGTACAAATATGTAATAAAATCATTTACCTGATGTTAATGATTTAAAAATACTTCTCCACTCCCCCATCGTTGTTTTAAAGTACATTATCTCATTAAGAAACATTCTTATATAATGCATTAATTCATCAAACATTTATGCCAAACTTACATGCCAAGTACTGTAAGAATGGACTGAAACTCAGTACTGTACCACCCTTAAAAATTTAAAATTTTCCACTCTTGAAGCTTGGCTACCATAAACTGAATGTTCCCTTCACTTTCATGCTTAAATGAAGCCACCTTATTTTCTCAAATACCCGATTACCTGGCAGTCCTCATGGGCTGAAGGTCTATTATCTAGTTCCCTATTTTTACTTATTTATATTTCTGCTTACTTTTATTCCTCCACCTTCATGCAAAACCTTTCCAGTTTTGAGGCTCGTGCCATTTTCCTATACTATTCTTCATCATTTTTTTATGTCCCAATGATCAAATTGTTATATATTAGTCTCAAATCCACTCTTCTATGGTCTCCTTTGTGGTACTGGAGCTAGACCCTATAAACAACACTTTTTGCCAACTGGAACAATGTTAGGATTTGTCAATAGAGGGCACCAAAGGGACACTAGCAGGCAATAGCAGCATGAAGGTCTCATCAGGGTTCCAGACCTCCATTTTTAAATTCAGGGTAGTGGCTCAGTGATCCTTAAAGACCAGGCACCCTCAGGCCAAACTCTCCCAATCTGACAACTCAGGCAAGTTTCTTTGCCATAGGCTACCTGTGTGTTCCTGTGACAGCCATAAATTATGAAGTTGGGGGGAGGCTCTATCATAAGTTCTTAAAGTTCCTTCACTACCCACTGTTCCTCAATCTAGAGGTAATAGTCCTGAGATTGAAAGCTTCACTGGAGAGGGTTAGTAAGAGAATGGGAAGAGAGGAAGTGAAAGCAGCAAAACAGACTAACTTTCAAGAGTTCTGCTGCAAGGAGAACAGAGAAGTGGAGTGGCTGCTGCAGGGAAATGTGGACTTTACTCAAGATGGGAGAGATATACAGAACTCAGTCCTATAGCTTGTTTTTTATTCCCCCCGCCCCCACACCTCTACCTGCAATGATCATCTCATCCAGTCGTATAGCTGAAAAATACCACTTATAGTCTGATGATTCTCAAATTATCATCATCTCCAGCCTGGACCTCCTCCATTAAATTTCAGATTTATATCCAACATCACTATTTGGAAGAATAATTGTCATATCAAACATAATATCCAAAACTGAGTATCAGATCTTTTGCCCAAACTTCTCTTTTTATAATTTTCAACATCTCACTAAAAGGCAATTCCAAAGCTCCAAATGCTCACTCTGTGCGTGCGCTCTCTCTTCTTTCAATCTTTCTTTCTCCCTCCCTCTTTCCCTTTCCCTCTTCCCCTCTCTCTTATGTTCCTCATCCAACCTTTGGGTAAATCATCCTAGCATAAACTTCAAAATATATCACAGAATTCAACCCCTTCTTACCACTTCTACTATAAACACTCTGGTCCAAGCAATCACCATCTTTCCCGAGGCTAACAAAACATTTTCTTAATGATCTGTTTCTACTCTTGCCTTCCTCTCTCATTCTATTCCAGCTATAAAGACCTGGTGGACCTTAAATATATATATATAAATAAAAAAAAACCTCCCCCAGATAACCAGTAATTTCTTTCTCTACTCTTTCAGAAATTTACTCAAATCTTTTCAAGGAGGCCTTCTCTGATTACCTTATTTGAAACTGCAACATTATTCTCCTCCTTTATTTTTCTCTGTATCACTTACTACCTGATATCACATATACTTTGTTAGTATATTTTATTGTCTGTCTCCTCCAACTAGAATTAAAGGGAAGGGATTACAGTTTCTTTTGTTCACTCCCGAATCCTTAGTTCCTATAACAGTTCTGCGCAATGAGATACTCATTAAACATTTATTGAATAAAGATGTGTATCTATATTTTTTAAAAAAAAGCATAATATGCTAATTAGACAAGGAAGTCCTTCTTGACGACCTTCTGGATGAAGCCGGGCCTGTGAGGGAAGCCCAGGTCCTGGGCGCCAAAAAGACAGTGCTGGCAGCCAGGGGAAGGAAGGCCTACTCTTGCACAAATTTTGTGTATCGGGCTTCTAGTATGCTGATAAGAATGTACTACTAGCTAGAAATATGAAAGATATCTGACACTATTTCTTCTTATTATATCTCATTACCTATCAAAACCTTACTGCCCTAGCTGGTTTGGCTCAGTGGATAGAGCTGAAGGATCTCGGGTTCCATTCCCGTCAAGAGCACATGCCCAGGTTGCAGGCTTAGTCCCCATGGGGAGAGGGAACATGAAGGAGGCAGCCGATCAATGATTCTTTCTGTTCATTGATACTGATATTTCTCTCTCTCCTTTTCTGAAATCAATAAAAATATGCATTTTTTTAAAAAAAAACCTTATCAATTGTATCTCTTAAGAATTATTAATCAGTTCCCTCCTTTTCAACCTTCACCATAGTCATTATTTTTCTCTGGACTACTATACAAACAAAACCTTCCTAAGTAGCATTCCTATACTTTTCCTAAATTTGCCAACCCTAAATCTAATCTCTACAGTATAGCCTGAGTGACTTCAGAATTCAGGACTAACCATGTCACACACCCTATTCCACCCCACCCCATTTCCTATTCCCAGCTAAAAATACCACAAATGGCTAGAGCAGGGATTAACAAAATCTTTCTGTAAAATGACAAACTAAATAGTCTTGGCTTTGCAAGATATACAAACTCTGTCGTAACTACTCAACTCTAGTATCTGAGCATAGATGCAAGCATAGAAAATTATATAAACAAATGGATATGGCTGTGTTCCAAAAAAAATTTTATTTATAAGAACAGGAAGTAGACTAGATACAGCCCTCTGATCTAGAGGATAAAGTAAAACTCTTTAGCATGTATTATAAGGTAGTAACTTATGTCTAGCTTTCTCCAATGTCATCTTCACTTCACATTTTGTACTCTATTACATAAGTGCTTATTCTTCCAACACATGTATCACACCTGTGTGCTTTTGTTCACATGCCCTTCCCACTATCTTCTTCTCCCTAACTCATGCTGTTTAACAGGTGGCTCAGGCAACATCCCTTCTTAGAAGCCTTCCTTGTATCCTTAAGTAGAGAGACATGTCCTTTTCTGATCTCCCATACCTCTATTTTATATTTACAATAATATTAAAATTTTGTTTAAATCCCCCATCACTAGTTTCAAATCCCTAGTAGATGGAGACTAGGTCTTTCATTTTCATAACTCCAATAATTAGCATATAGTAAGCATTCAATAAATGGTTTGAATTGAAATGAAGGTTCCTCTTAGTAATAAAGCTGAAGTGAGAATAGACATGTTGACTTAGCATTATCAACAACTTTTGTTAATAAGATGGGTCAGAATACAAGTCATTGAACATCAACGTCAAGAGTATAATTTAAGTAGCTCTTCGTAAACATTTCATCCAAAGCCAACACTAGAATTTAAAAGAGGACAGAAAAAAAAAAAAGAAAATAAATAAAAAATAAATGAGAACAGAGACAAGAATCTTTAACTCATCATGCCGAACTGTGAATTTAGACGTACTTCAATTCGAAGAGCCAGCTCCACTTGGCTGTGATAAGAATCTAAGAGTTCTTCAATAGGGTGCCTAAAATAAAGAACAGTTAGTTATTGTGGCTGAAGGAAACTATATACAAAAATGACTGTTTTATTTATCAAAATCAATGTATTCACATTCAAAAGCAAAGTTTAAAAACCAGCAATTAATGCTTTAGATGTCACACCTTGTCATGACTTCTTTATAAGGTTTTTCTATTTGATGCAGGTGTTTGTTTAAATCCACAGGTGTTTCATCATCTTCTGCCTAAACAAACATATATACACAAATGTTTACCAAAAAATCAAATCCATTCTTTGGTCTTTCTATTGCCAAATTAAATATGGTTGAATGTACTATTCTTGAAACTAAAGTGATTTTTCAGAACTGAGGCTAAACTATTATTTATAATGGACTCCAAAACAGTGAATCAATACCCTAAAACATTTTTTTCTTTATTGGTTAAGGTATTACATAAGTGTCCTTATCCCTCCAATGTCTCCATCACCCCCCCCCCCCGCAACTCTCTAAAACATTTTTAAATAGATAAACAAATTCTTTTAAGTCTCATTTTTTCATATATAAATAGCTCCCAAAGCAAAAACTACTTCTGTTCTATACAGAGACTAGGAAGCTAAAAATACTTTTAAAGATGGCTGACAGCCAAATGAAGGTAGAGAGAGAGCCAGATGGGGAAGAGATCTTTGAATTTCTCCATTTTCTTTCTAATGATTATCAAGTTTCCTTCCACCTAACCCTCCAATAAATGAAATACTGGTCTCTCCTACAATAAGTCCTTATTATGCAAATATACTCAAGAATATCATTCCTTAAGAAACTGAAAAGATAAGTTACTAATGATTGCTAAAATGTACTGAATTTTGTGAAATAATTTACACCCAATTAATCAATTCTACCTAACACAACAGTAGAATTTAAGAGAATAAAGAAGAGAACGTAGAAATGTCTGATTATTTTCCCACCCCAAATTCTATCAAATGAATAATTCTCCTTAGACATTAAAATTCATCAAGTGTATATACAGTATTAAAATGGCCTCATTTTCTGCATGCTATTTGAATAACATCGTAAATTATGTCTAGCTTTCTCCAAATGTCATCTTCACTTCACATTTTGTACTCTATTACATAATTGCTTATACTTCCAGCACATGTGTCACATCTGTGTGCTTTTGTTCACATGCCCTTCCCACTATCTTCTTCTCCCTAACTGTACTTTAAAACACAGAATTAGTTTTTATTTGGTGAAAAATAATGTAATTTTTTCAGTTTGATGCAAAGGTCAATATAAATCTCTACTTCCCTCCCTCCTTCCCCTCAAACCGTATTTAGTATTCAAAATCTTTCCTTCTTCCTCATTTCTCCTTGGCTGGATCCTACTGTTTTCATTCTTGTGTAAAACGATTACAAATCAAATTTTTAATCTCTCCACTTTGATTTTCATATAGGTCCCCCATTCTGAGTAGTATGCTACTACACCTCCATGATTAAAAATCTCACACATCTGTTGAGATACAGGGTTCATCATTTCCAGATCAACCCAGAAATCTTGGAGAATATGCAAACTGCAAATTGGCTCATTAGCAGAATTATTCAGATTTAATCAAATGCAATACAGTTATAAGGTAAACACTTACTGTTCGGGCCAAATTTTTGCACATTGCGCTTAAGGTCAAAAGTTGCAGTTTAATCTCTGTGTCCCATTTTCGACAGTTTTGAATATGTTCATGACTTCCAAGGCAATGATTACTGTTAAAATATATTAATGATTCATCAATGTTATTTTCTTCAAACTAGAAATTATAGAGGTGAGAGTAAAATACAAAGTTGTATCTGCATCAGAAATTAAACAGAATGGTAAAATACAGAGAAAGCTTTTTAAGCAGAGTGAGCATTTAAGTAGAGGAGTAATTCTACTTGAGGACAATCAAAGCAAAAAAGAAAGATGAAGAAAATAAGAAAAATAAAGACAGGACATTTTTAGTAGCTTAAGAGAATGAAATCTGTAATATAACTAACTAGACTAAATTCCAGATGCAATAATTACTTGGTTCATATGATTATTTCAGTAATAATAATATTATTATTCAGCCAGTGTGGCTCAGTGATTGAGCATCAACCTATGAACCAGGTCACAGTCAATTCCTGGTCAGGACACATGTCTGGGTTGCGAACTCCATCCCCAGTGGGGGGCGTGCAGAAGGCAGCCTATTGAAGATTCTCTCTCATCGCTGATGTTTCTATTTCTCTCTCCCTCTCCCTCCTGAAATCAATAAAAATATATAATAAAAAAAGAAACCACAGTAGACTACTGTGTATAAGTAATGCATGCTACAAAAGGAAAGTGGAGTCTATAATGATATGACCCTTTGCTGAAAGAAAACATTAAATTCACTTATCAACCAAATGCCCACTATTCTTCCCATCTGAGACTACAGCGCTTTAAAAAAAATTTTTTTTAACTTATTGGTTTTAGATAGGGGGAGGAGAAAAACAGATTTATTTTTTCATTTATTTATGCATTGACTCACAGCTTGACTCTTTTTATGTGCCCTGACTGGGGACTGAACCCACAAACTTGGTATATTGGGATGACGTTCTAACCAACTGAGCTTCCCACCAAAGCTGAAAATATAAGCTTTTTAAGGGAAATACCATGTCTTAATTATCTCTGAAATCCCTCCACTGTCTTAGCCCAACAGGATTTCTTAGAAAAAATAAATCTCATACAAGTTTATCGATACAATTAATCAATTTAGTAGGACCCAATGTGTTACTGAATTATAAACTGAACTTGAAATTTTTCTAATTTAAGCTGTTAAAAATGTAATTTCCAATGATGTTGCTCAGTAGTTAAATGAATAAACTTACTTCTGCAGTACTTCTTCTTGACCACAAACTTTCAGAACATAGCTGCCAACATCTACTTCATTCAAGTCATCATGCACCCAGCAAAGGGCTTGCATTATAATAATTTCTACAGTAGAACTCACTGTAAAAGAGTTAGTCATCATTTTCATTTTGCTTATTTAACTCTAAGTATACATTAATTCAGATTGTATTTCTTGTTCCCTAAGACAGCACTATATAATAAACTATAATGCAGGTCACATCTATAATTTAAAATTTTCTAGTAGCCACAATGAAAAAGATAAAAAAAAAAAAAAAATAGGTGAAGCCATATTTTACTTAACCTAATATATCCAGATTTTGACATTTCTGATATCTTATATTCTCTTAAAACCCAGTGTGTATTTTACACTTACAGCACATCTAAATTAATCATGTTTCAAGTGCTCAATAACCACATGTGGCTATTGATTACTATCTTAGGGCAGATCTAAGCTAAGCTAATTATCTCCCTACTACAGACACTTCCAAAAAGGATGGCATTTAGCAGTATCTAGCAAACAATGATTTAAACCACATGTGTCAAACACAAGGCCCGTGGGCCAAATCCGTCCCGCCAGGCCTTGCAATGTGGCCCGCACCGCGCTGTCATCACTGCACTCTGCTGCATTTCCATCACAATGACAGTTTATGACTGTTCAGTAAACCATTCGGCCCGCGATTTAGGCTGGATTTTAGATTTTGGCCCCTTCTCTGATTGAGTTCGACACCCCTAATTTAAACCATCATTAAGAAAAAGAATCACCATTTTAAATGTTTGACATTTGCCTGGTAAATCTTCTGATAAGGAATAAAAATCTAGCAAGTAGAAAGAATTGTTCAATTATCATTTTGGGCAACAGCTGGATACTAAGATCACAACACATTAAAACAAAGGTAGCCTTTAAAGAAACCTATGTCTATACTTCAAGCTCCTATGTTTGATTTAGAAGACACTGATTACATTAAAACTTCATGAAAATTGCCGAAGCCAGTTTGGCTCAGTGGTAGAGCGTCGGTCTGCGGACTGAAAGGTCCCAGGTTCGATTTCGGTCAAGGGTGTATGTACATTGGTTTCGGGCACTTCCCCTGTGGGGGGGTGTGCAAGAGGCAGCTGGCCGATGTTTCTCTCTCATTGACGTTCCTAGCTCTCTATCTCTCCCCCTTCCTCTCTGTAAAAAATCAATAAAATATATTTAAAAGAAGACTAGAGAAGATACTTTTACAAAAATCAATAAAAAATAAAATAAATAAACTTCATGAAAATTATCCGCTTGACAGAAAAGGCCATAAAACCTCTATCTAATATAATGGCTACATTTCTGAATAGTTAAGTATGTGGTAACATGTATCATTTGAACATAAAACTATTTGTATCATAATATAGTTACATTTCTTTACAGAAATGTACATTATAAATGTGCGCATCTATGAAGAACCAAACATTAGGCATTTGAAAAATTTTTAAGCAATCAGATCTTGATATAGCAAATCAAAATGTTATACAAATTAAAACATTTATTATCAATGTGTAAGCATTGATACTCATGCTTATTTCAATCAAGAGACCTACTGTCTTTTTATTTTCTTCAATTTTAGTATTAATTCTTACTGCATACTTAGAGTTAAATGTTTTTTCTAACCAAAATGTGAGGCATATTTTAAAATAATTCTTCCTTTAGAAATTAAATAATGACTGTTCACAGTTGGCTAATAATGATTTTTTCAAAGGGCCTTGAAAAGTACAAAGCTACAAAGTATCCAATATTAGACATATTCTGAGTTATAACCATTAAAGAAAAAAATAGCATAATTTTTAGGCTAAAGTGCTATAGAAATACAGGATCTTATTCTACTATTGGAATCCCATTAAAATAATATACATTGTGAAAAGCAATAAACTATGAAAGAAAATAAAAGTAGTTTTTAAAACTATAACAAAAAATTTCCTATATCAAATTTTGAAGAAAGACTTAGAACTAAAGGAAAAATATCTTCTACTTGGAGCAGAGATTTTCAACTGGTGTGTTGCAAGAATTTTTAAAATATGCCATACCTGACTATTTAGTCAGAGGCACTGACCTCTTTTCCCTTAAATTGTCAATTTAAAAAATGATGCCCCAGCCGGTTTGGCTCAGTGGATAAAACATTAGCCTGCGGACTGAGGGGTCCTGGGCTTGATTCTGGTCAAGGGCACATGTCCAGGTTGTAGGCTCGATCCCCAGTAGCAAGCGTGGAGGAGGCAGCCCATCAATGATTCTCTCTCATCTTTGATGTTTCTCTCTCTCTCTTCCTCTCCCTTCCTCTGTGACAGTGGTCGGCAAACTCATTAATCAATAGAGCCAAATATAAATAGTATAACAATTGACATTTCTTTTGAGAGCCAAATTTTTAAATCTTAAACTATATAGGTAGGTACATTGTTATTAACTTAATTAGGGTATTCCCAAGCTGGCCTTTTGCTAAAAACTCAAGGGGCCAAAAGAGCTGCTTGTGGCTCACGAGCCGCAGTTTGCCGACCACAGCTCTATGAAATCAATAAAAAATGTTTAAGAAAAAATAGAAAATGACAACAACCAACACAATAGTCATCTGGAGTGAATGAATTAAAATTATACATTTTTTTTTTTTGCAGACTGGCAATATATTTTTATGTATGCCATGAGATGAAGAAAGGTTGAAAATCACTGCCTTAGAAGAGAGGAGCTGAGCAAGATAACTGGAATTTCAATTTTACTGACAGTTTTTATAAGCAAGCATTCTTCTTGCCATAAAACAAAAAAATTTTAAAAAATTGATTTCCTGCCAAAACCGGTTTGGCTTAGTGGCTAGAGCTTCGGCCTGCGGACTGAGGGGTCCGGGTTCGATTCTGGTCAAGGGCATGTACCTTGGTTGCGGCCACATCCCCAGTGGGGGTTGTGCAGGAGGCAGCTGATCGATGTTTCTCTCTCATCGATGTTTCTAACTTTCTATCCCTCTCCTTTCCTCTCTGTGAAAAATCAATAAAATATATATTTTAAAAATTGATTTTCTATTTTATTAGCTATCGATTGGCCTTTTTATCTAATGTTTTTGGGCCTTGGCCAAGAGCCACTCATTAACCAGAGTTAATCAGCATTTTTCAGAGAAATATGTACAGTCGTTACAAAGGTAAACTGTTTTCCCACTGGTCCTAACCAAGAAAGTATCCAAATGAAATGCTAACTTTTTGAAAGAGTAACTAATGAATGTTAAGTATTTTACCTTACACACACACACACATTTTTTAAGAAGAATACTAATAACAGAGTTGGTTTCTTAAGAGAATGAAAATTATTAACATTTTAAACACTTCCTCTCTAATCAGAGCAAAACAGGATGGTTGGAACTACAAACTTACCATCACATGTAAAAGTAACTGGTAGTTGAAATCCTTCAATTTCAATGGAGACCTTCACACTAGCATTTTCTCCACATAAATTTCTTTGCACTGTGACTGGACTTAACAAATAGCCTGGATTTGTGCAGTGATTGGTATATGGAAAGTTGGTCTTTAATCTGTTCACAAGAAAGAAGAAATTAAATTCTTTTTTTTTAAGCTGCATTTATTTGAGCTCTGAACAAGGCTTTGCATGCTTACAGCTATTCAATTCTGTGCCTTTGTTCAATTCTAGAGCAGCTCATGAGAACTGCAATGAATGGACCCCTGTCAAAACTCCAAATACCAGAATTTGCCTTTTAAATCAAAGGAATTCAAGGAAAGAGATTAAATACTGCCAGGATGTCTTTGGTAGCATTATCAACATTAACTGGACACATAGCATTAAATGAGGTGCTCTGTTTCAGATTCTTTTGCTACACAGTATAATTACACAAAATGGTACATTTTTAACTAATACTGATAATATAGGTGATGTAGCCTTAAATTGTAACTGCCAGAGGAATAAAAGGTTTGTTGTCTTTTAAAACATCTTTTTTTTCTAAGATTCTTTTTCCTACACATTGTTTCTGGTTGTTAGACAATGATTTAAAAGCACACAGACACACAAACACAAACATAGTGCTATGAGGCCTTGATTTCCTCAAAGTAATTTCTAAAACACAGGGAATTTCCTATAAAAGTACTCATAACATTTATAGATATTCAAAGGAGCAATATCATTTAAATTTAAATATGAGCATGGTGTACAGCTCATCTCCAGACAGTACTTCTGTTATCAGAAGACAAAAGAGGATTTGATGCCCTCTTTAAACTAAGGTACTTCTTTTCAACATTTTTCTGAAAATTAAAAGATGAATTCCAATCTTCCAATCTACTTTTTCACAGAGTATAAATGAAATGAATACTGGAAGTGCTGCCTATTTGCTTCTGTAGAGATTAAAACAATTAAATCACAGGAGAAAAAAGAGCCATTCATTTCTTAAAGGGACATCTCCTCCTGACTTCAACCTCCCAGGTCACAGGGGAACAAGAGAAGTTCCTAGAAATGGTTTCAAAAACACCTCTATTTCAGTGCTCACTTTGGCAGCACATGTACTAAAACATAGAGGATTAGCATGGCCCTTGTCCAAGGATCACACACACACTTGTGAAGCCTAAAAACACAAAAAGTGCACGTCTGCATTCTACTGCTCTGAAATATTTGTTGGAATCATACTCTATTAAAGAAAATAAAATTACAAGAAGAATTCACTCTTTCTTTAGTTCATTTTAGGGTTTCATATTACACAAGCCAGGGTGTGTGTGTGTATGTGTGTGTTGTGTGTGTATAAATAAAAAAATAATCATTTTAATAAAGCGTGGGCCTGCGGACCAAAGGGTCCTGTGTTTGATTCCAGTCAAGGGCATATACCTTGGTTGCAGGTTCCTCCCCAGGCTGGGAGCATGCAGGAGGCAACCTATCAATGTGTTTTCCTCACATCAATGTTTCTCTCTGTGCTTCCCTCTCTCTAAAAATCTGTGGGAATATATCCTTGGATGAGGATTATAAACAAACAAACAAACAAACAAATAAATGTTTGAGAAATATCCTTGGATAAGGATTATAAATAAATAAGTAAATAAATAAGTAAGTAAATAAATAAATAAATGCCGAAACCGGTTTGGCTCGTGGACTGAAAGGTCCTGGTTTGATTCTGGTCAAGGGCATGTACCTTGGTTGCGGGCACATCCCCAGTAGGGGGTGTGCAAGAGGCAGCTGATCGATTATTCTCTCTCATCGATGTTTCTAACTCTCTATCCCTCTCTCTTCCTCTCTGTAAAAAATCAATAAAATATATATTTAAAATAAATAAATAAATAAATAAATAAATAAATAAATGTTTGACCCCCCCCAAAAAATCATTGTAGATTACTGGTAGTCTTTGTAAATTACTCAAAGATTCAAGTAGTGAGAAAAGGTAGATCACAGAGAGCCTAATTTCTTAAATTAAATGCAATAGTCATTCAACAGTTTCATAGAAAACACATAGGACTTCTGGAGAGAATTAAGGGACTAGACGAACACCTAACAGAGCATTTCCAAACCACTAAAGTAAAAGATTATTCCCAAATTATTAACCACACAAACATAATAATATAATGGCATAGGTAATCTAATAAATGCAATTTGCATACTAAGTCATCCAAAGTGTCATATATATATACACATATATATATATGTGTATATATATATAATTTTTTTACAGAGAGGAAGGGAGAGGGATAGAGTTAAAAACATCTATGAGAGAGAAACATTGATCAGTTGCCTCTTGCACACCCCCTACTGGGGATGTGCCCACAACCAAGGTATTGTACATGCCCTTGACTGGAATCAAACCTGGGACCCTTCAGTCCGCAGGCTGATTCTCTATCCACTGAACCAAACCAGTCAGGGCTTGTCTCCTATTTTATATGCCCAGTGAAAAATACGAGTTTTAAAAATCCAGTTAAGAGTAATAGTAATCTCTGCAGGGAAGAAAAGGTGGCTCTACTGATATTTTTCTTCTCTCCCCCCCCCCTCCCCGCCGTATTCTGCAGAACAGAAATTTTGGTTAAAAGGTAACATAAAGAAAGGCAGTTTTAATGAAATATTACCAATACTCTAGAAAATCTAGTTGAATATTAAATCTATTAATTAACATTAAAATAATGTACCTACTCAAAAATTATCTGGAAATCCCAAACTCTGCTTTGCTTAAAGTAAATCACACTGGGGAAAATATGGGATTCAGAATAAATTCCCATGATGGTGATCTACTTTCCCTTCTTTTGATAACATATCTCATGCCCTTAGCCACTTACACTTTTCCCTTTCAGGGTTTTTTTCTATCTGCTGTTGGCTGAGAGAACTCCATTTTGTCTTTACTAGTAAGACCATTAGATTGTGAAATCTAACCTATCATGGTTGTATTTCCTGCCTTCACAACAACCTCATCTGCAGTGGAAGAAAAGGAAAATAGGATAGAAAATTAGAAAACAGAATCCAAAGGGAGGAGGGTCCTTTCAGTATACGAATTCCTAGATCTGGCTGTCATTTGCTAGTAGCTCTGTCCCATCCTTACTCTTTCTGCTATATTGGCTTGTAAACCAATACATAATCTTTCTTGATTTAAACTAGTTTGAGATGGGTTTTTAGTACTTACTAGAGGCCGGTGCACAAAATCTGTGCATGGGAAAGGTCCCTTGGCCTGGCCAGTGATTAGGGTCGATCAGGGCCTTCCTTCCCCAGCTGCTGGCTGCCAGACAGCTGGGGCCTTCGTTCATTCCACGCCCAACCCCTGGTGGACAGTGCATGTCATAGCAAGCAGTCAAACTCAGTCGGTCAAACTCTCGAGGGGACAATTTGCATATAAGCCTTTTATTATATAGGATAATGGAAGTCCAGCTAATCCAGTGATATAATGGAAAGAAAAAATACTGAACCAGAGGCAAAAGAAACCTGGAGGACTAGTTTGGTAAGCTTGGTAGGTAACTTCTCTTGAGTCTCAATTCCCTCATCTATAAATAATATTAGACAGATTTAAGATTAAAAGAACGTTTTAGAAATGCATTTTTTAATATTCAGAAAATATACTTGTTCTTCTAATGGTGCCTGTTATCTCTTACATAAATGTATAACAATATTTTGAATGGTAGAAAATTTGTAGCAAAATAAAGTGTCCCTAAAACAAAACAAAAAAGGCATTATCTAAGTGTACTGAAACTTGAATGTTTAAGTCATAGTTTCATTGGTTAATAGATTATCAGACATCTATAGCATGACTTCAACCTTTCTTCTAAATACTCAAAAACATAAGAGATAAGAATACAGATTCAACTGTAGTTTATGTTCCAATTAAAATTTTAAACCACAGGGATAAAATGATTAAAAACTTAAAGAATTTAGAATTATTAGCTCTAAGTTAATTTTCAATAAACTTTTAAGCAAGCATTTAGTAAAAAATAATATTTCATTTAGAAAAGAAATTTCCTTACTTTGTAATGGATTGACAAAAAGCTGCTACTTCCTCGTTCTGCACTTCAATTTCTTGTAGAAGAGAACTTCCAGTTGGCAAACTACTGGTCCCATTTGGGTCTTTCTGTAATCAAAACAGTATTTTTATTTTAAAAGTAAAAGATCCCCAAAATGCTAAATAGCAGCACAGTACAAACACATTTTTGTAAAGATATGGAGTTAAAATAAGTGACATTAGTAACAGTTTTAATTTACGGACTTTTCTATCCAGAAAAGTAATGCCAACTAAGTTTTATTTTAAAATTCATTGGTTTTATTTGCTCAAAAAGTAGAAAGATGCTGTTCTTTGTGTTGATTAGTAAGAATGGAATGCTAGCCTGGCCAATGTTGCTCAGGGGTTGAGTATTGACCCAGAAACCAAGAGGTCCCCGGTTCTATTGGGCAGATGCCTGGGTTGTTGGATTCCCAGTAGGAGGCAGCTGATTAATGTTTCTCATTGATGTTTCCATCTCTCTCTCTGAAATCAATAACAATATATTTTTAAAAATGGAATGCTAAAATTATTTTCACTGAAACGAATACTAATTTAATAGCTGAGTGAAATTAAAGGACTAGCCCTTATTTCACTAAAACGAAGAGAGAACCCTATTTGAGACTTCCCTAGTAAATCAGAATTCTATTTACAGGGTGGTGCAAAAGCAGGTTTACAGTTGTGAGTACACAAAACAGAGTTTATTCTTGTATTATTTTCCATCCAAACGACAATAAACCTACTTTTGCCCCACTCTGTATTTAAACTTAGGCCTTCAATTCCAACAAAGCAGCTGGTTTTTTATACAAGAAAATGAGACCTACCAGTGGACATTTTCTGTGATAATAAACTTATACAAACAACCCGATAGTCCTTCAAAAGTTAAGGTTATATCTGATTGAAATTTGTGTGCAACTTTTAGGAGATAAATTCACTACCCAAGCAAAGCCAAATAGCAGAGTTCATAAGTAGAGGCATTTTGGTTATTACATAAAAATACTTAATTTGACACAAATTTCAAATGTAAATTTCCATTAAAATTAGAATTAGAACATTCCACAATTAAAAATTAAGTGAATCAGCTCTAGCAGGTTTGGCTCAGTGGATAGAGCGATGGCCTGCAGGCTGAAGGGCCCTGGGTTCGATTCCAGTCAAGGACACATGCCTGGGTTTTGGGCTTGATCCCCAGCTGGGGGCATACAGGAGGCAGCCAATCAATGCTTCTCTCTCATCATTGATGTTTTTCTCTCTCTCTCTTTCCCCCCCTCCCCCCCGTGTCTGTCTCTCTCTCTCTCTCTCTCTCTCTCTCTCTCTCTCTCTCTCTCTCCCTTCCTCTCTGAAATCAATAAAAAAAAATTTTTTTCTTTAAAAAGTAAGTGAATCAGAGTACCAGGTATAAATATCAAGAGTTGTAATAATTTTCAATAAACATTTTGTCAGAAAATTAAACTGAAAACTTAGGGCAAAATTCCTTCACGAATTTTCTTCTTTTTTAAAATGTGGCAGAGCCCTTTCTACTAGAATGTGATATGAGCATTTCGGGAACAAACAAACAAGTCTTGAATTCCAGAAAATTGCAACTAAAAATAACAAAGCTTATGAGAAAAACAGAGTTAAGGCTGATTACTCAAAATCATTGTAACTTTATAACCAAAACCCCAACTAACACAATAAAAAAAAAACCTTATAAAATACTAGTACAGCCGAAACCGGTTTGGCTCAGTGGTAGAGCGTCGGTCTGTGGACTGAAAGGTCCCAGGTTCGATTCCGGTCAAGGGCATATACATTGGTTGCGGGCACATCCCCGGTAGGGGGTGTGCAAGAGGCAGCTGGTCGATGTTTCTCTCTCATCGCCGTTTCTAGCTCTCTATCTCTCTCCCTTCCTCCTCTCTATAAAATATCAATAAAATATATTTAAAAAAAAAATACTAGTACAGTTAAGTCTCCACTTGAATTTGTACCTAGCATTATCCTGGAGTCCCTGCCTCTTCACTTATATCATCTAGACTATGATTTCTTCAATAAACAAAGTTATTAATGCAAAGAAAATGTCTTCACAACAGTTAATGTATTAACTGCTTCACCAGAGAGAGCTTAACATTGTGGAATATGAAGCCATTATTAAAGCTACTTATCCAACTATCATTTTTACTAAATAACACTTCAGCAAGATTTTCAGTGTTTTCCTTAATATTTTCTTATATTACTAATACTTTCTCTTTGCCAGAAAGTCTGTTCTTGATTGTTTTAAAATGTAAATATAATACAATATGGATGGACCTGAGGACATTATGCTAAATGAAATAAGCTAGTCACACACACAAAATATTGTAAGGCTCCACTTACATGAGGCACTTAAGAGAATTCAAAAATCAAAAAGACAAAATGGCCTAGCCGATTTGGCTCAGTGGATAGAGCATCAGCCTGTGGACCAAGGGGTCCCAGCTCAATGCCAGTCAAGGACGCGTACCTTGGTTGCAGATTCCTACCCAGCCTGGACCCTGGTTGGGGCTCGTGCAGGAGGCAACCAATCAATGTGTTTCTCTCACATTTGATATTTCTCTCTGTCTTTCTCTCTCTCTAAAAATAAATGGAAAAATATCCTCAGGTGAGGATTAACAACAATAAAAAAGACAATATATCTAATGGTAGTTGCCAAGAGTTTGGGTGAAGAAAAATGAGAAGTTGTTTAATGAGTACAGAATTTCAGTTTTACAAGGTAAAAAGAGTTACTATAAGGATAAATGGTGGTAATGACTGCCACAACAATATAAATGTATTTAATAACACTGAACTGTAATCTTAAAAAAGACCAAGATGGTAAATTTTATTACTTGTATTTTAGCACAATTGAAAAAATATTTAGCGAGTATTGAGAATTTATTACATGTCTGGCTCTGCTGTAAGCAATTTACTGGTAGATATGTATGTAATATTTGTTTCTAACAAAGTCCAAGTAGGAGGGTACTATTATCCCCATTTTACAGATTTTTAAAAAATGAGGTTCAGAGAAGTTAATTAACTCACATAAGGTCACACAACCAATATATTCAGAGACAGAAGCTAAACCCAGGTATCCTGGCTTCAGAATCACATACTTAATTAACATACCAACCTATCTCTCAAGTCTGTAAAAAAAAAATAAATAAATAAAATTAAAAAATAAATAAAAAATCAATGCAATGAGAAAAACATATGACCTTTGCAGGAGCAATGTTATAGAAAACCTCTATTTTTGCTTGACCCAATAGTCATCTTTCCTTCTTTAACTATTTTGCATGTTTTACTTAACAGATTTTGAATCCTTAGCGACATTTCTAGATTTTTCAAAAATCAAATGTTGCATTTTTTACAGTGCCATTCATGAATGAGATTCTTTCTTTCAAGCAGGTTATAAGTTTCAATGGACAGTGACAGAAATAGATTATAATAACTAACTCTCTAGTCATACATTAAGGTAATAATAGGCTCTGGAAAGTTAACTCAAAAGTTCTGTCCACAAAGTAAAATATAGCTGGGTTGCCAATGATTTTGTCTCATACATTAACATTAGCATTTTTGTTTGTTTTTCTTCACTCTTTTTTTAAAAAAAATTTTTTTTTATTGATTTCAGAGAGGAAGGGAGACAGAAAGACAGAAACATCAATGATGAAAAAAAATGGTTGATTGGCTGACTCATACATGCCCTCTACTGGGGAATTGAGCCTACAACCCAGGCATGGGGTCCTGACTGAGAATTAAACCAGATCTCCTGGTTCATAGGTTTGATGCTCAGCTACCAAGCCACACCAGATGGGCTCTCTACTCTTTCTAAAAAATTGTTTTTCAATTTTACACACAGTCTCTTAGCTCTTGCCCCAACTCTTCTCTCCACTCTACTCAAACAACCTACCTAAGCATCAAAGTATCTCTTTTCTCCATTGATCTTGCACACTTTTATGTGGCACTCAAGGCTTTGTATTTTGTACTGCAATTTATATGTACACACAGCCTGTCTCCCTCTTCTAACTCAAATTCTTTAAGAATGAGGTCTGGAAAAAAAAAAAAAAAAGAAGAAGAATGAGGTCTGCAAATGATTGATATTTGTAAACCTCACAAGGTATAGCCTCAAATATTTTTCAATGTATGAAAGAGACAAATGATAATCAATAAGAAAATAACTGCTAATGCTATCATCCAATATATGGAACAAAAAAAAAGTATGTTGTGGAAGATATTGAGTCCTCTAGTAAATATATTAGGCTTAGAAATTTTTTATCATAATCTAGAAATATTTTATTCTAGAAATTCTATTCCAGAGCTAAAGATCTAGATTTGAGGATCTTTCATCCAATTTCTGCAATTTCCTACAGGGATATTTATGTCTGCTAATCGCTGTCAGCCTCATCAGGAGCACTGAGAGGGCAATATCCCAGCCAAAGGGGTTTTGGGTCCAAGTTCCATCAAAAGGATACAGTCTCTTTAGAAGGCTAAGGGTTGCACTCACTGGGAATGAAGCTGGGACATCTCTCTCTCACACACTAAGAGATTGATTGATTTATTATATGAAATTAAATCATAGAATTATAGAGAGTAACAAGACTGGACCACAGTTGGCAAACTGGATATCCAAGAGAGTCAAAGGCTCCAGTCTGAATCTGTCAGGCCAAAGATTAAGAGCCGAAGTTTCAATTTGGATCTGAAGGCAGGAAAAAAATCCATGTTCCAGCTCAAAGGCAGTTAGATAGGAGGAGTTCCTCAAAGGCAGTCGGATCAGCCTTTTTGTTTTATTCAGGACTTCAATTGATTGGACAAGTCCCATGATATTAAAAAAGACAATATGCCTTTATTCAATCTACTGATTCAAATATTAATCTTGTCCAGAAACATCCTGACACACAAAATGTCTGACCAAATGCCTAAGCACCCCATGGCACAGTCAAGTAGACACATAAACTTAATCATCACAGCCTCTCAACCATAATGACCCACAAAGTCACATCACTATGAAAGTCTAAACCAGTAGTTTTTAAATTCTGTATCTTGGAGCCCAAAGAATAAAGCACTGAACAAGAGAAAACAGGTAACAAACATTAAAGATAGCCAAGAACAAAACTTTAGGCAAATGCCTAAGTTTAGAAGCTAGACAAAGAAAAGGAGTCAAAGATTATAGGATAAAAAGTAGGAAGCATGACTAGGGCAACAGAAGAGAAGTTTCAAAAAAAGGATGTAGTCAATTGTTGCAAATGAAACAAAAGGGGTGGAGAGTGAATGTGGTCAGTAGATTGGCAATGAATAGTCATATTACCAGAAGTAAGTTTCTGCAATATGATGGGAACAATAGAGGACAAAGAGAGACTGGAAAGGCAGTTAAGTACAAATTCCCTTATAAAAAATAATGGTAGAAAATACTTGGAGGAAATAGGAAAGGGAAGGAATATCTCTTTCCTCAATCCAGAAAGAAGGACAGATCTGAGATGGGGAAGTACATACAAAGAATAGCCTTGACCTCAACATTAAAAAAAAAAAAAAAGGTAATGAGGTCATTTACTAGAAGAGTGGTAGAAAGGGTTAATTAGGGGATTAAGGAAAGCAGTGAAGATTTGAAATGATTCACAAAAACTTATCAGTACAGTATATACTGATAAGTTTTTGTGAATCATTTAAAAGCAGTGAAATGATTTTGTGAATCATTTTGTGAATTATTGTAAAGCAGTTATAAGAATGGGAAAGCTTTATGCCTACAAAAGTCCAAGGTTCATGCCATATTACCCCAAAATTAGATAAACACAATACTAAGTTTTTAATAAATATACCGAAAGCATTAAATATATATAACAGTTACTATTTAGAACTTGGTTGCTTCCTTATTGGAATTAAAAAAAAAAAAAAGATTTTTTATTATCCTTTATTTTTAAATGTATTTTTTATTTATTTCAGAGAGGAAAGGAGGGGGAGAGAGAGATAAAAACAATCAATGATAAAGAGAATCATTAATTGGCCACCCTCACTGGGAATCGAGCCCTCCCTGGAAATCAAATTGTGACCTCTTGGTTCATTTGTCAACATTCAATCAGTGAGCCACACCAGCTGGACTTCCTTATTGAAATTTTTTTTTTAATTGTTACAGAAAAGACTGCAGTAACCTATCCAAGTAGAGTACTACATTCAACTACAGTAGATAATGAAAATCATGTTTTGTTCAAGTTTCCCTCACCTTTAAAATTAATAATAGACAATGGGAATATAAGTTTATAATGTTAATATAATTAACTTTTAGAATGAGTAAATATCAGAACTTTGCAGAACCACTTCTATGAAAATAATTTAATTCATTACTCAAATTTATGAAATGTGCTCAAAATAGCTAAATATATAGCTATTAACTCAAAATCCGATTTAAATTTAAATTGCCATAAGACAGTTTTAAGTAGTATTCCTTTTCTTGGTTTTATTCACAAAACATTTGAACTAAAGTATTTAGATTATTATTAACAAAACAAGACACTTAAAGGAAATAGGAAGTAAGCTTGCTGAGTAAGAAGAAAACACCCTTCTGAGTTTTCACCACAAAGCATAAAATTCTAACAGCTTTCAAAAGTGTAATTAAGTACATAAAGTAACTAAAAAGAACAGACTTCACAATCTTATTTCCCAACAAAAAATATAAACCTCAGAGGAAAGCTTTTAATTAGAGATGAATAGTGTATGAAAAATTAAAAGCTCCATCTAATATTTGTACCACAAACTTCCAACACTACTAGTGTTCTATTTGCCTTCCCCTTTTTGGCCTAAATGAAACCAAACTTTATCTTCTTATACATAAAGAAAATGATAAAATCTTGTGTTAATAAAAGGGCTTAGAATTTTTCTTTAAATATAGAAATCCTTTTACAGCATTTGTAATAGGTGCACACCAAACTTCTGATTGAAGGCCTTCAGTAATTGTGCATTAACAACCTATTGGCTACTTTTATAAATACCTTTGTTGACATTTACCTATAATACCTGCCTCCCTGTATTTTCTTCCCTTATTTTACTTTTAGGGACAATAAAATTTAAAATTAAGTTACTAAATTGAATTTCTCAATTCACAGAGAAATATATAAACAAATAAGATTTGCTTAATTTTCAAGTTTTCTATAAAATATTTAACTTTCAGCACCTGCTATCACTTGTCTCTATTAAAATGAAACACAATGCTTGCTATTTAATGTAGCACAAAGTAACATGCTTAATATAATGTATTGAAAATTTTAGTATATCACTATTTTATCTTTATTAGAATACTATGAGCTTGGCTATGTAGCTCAGTTGGTTAGAGCATAGCCTTATACACCAGAGGGTAGTGAGTTTGATTCCTGTCAGGGCACATACCCAGGTTGTAGGTTTGATCCCAGGTTGGGGCACATGCAGGAGGCATCTAAACAATGTTTCTCTCTTTCTCTCCTCTCTCCTCTCTTCTCTCTCTCTCTTTCTCCCCCCCTCCCCTTCCTCTCTGTAAAATTTAAAAAACAAATTGTAATTATAAAAGCAAAATACAAATCTGCAATTAGATATATTATATTTGGAAAGGAAAAGTCTAAACAGTGCTGTCTCTCTTCTGAGGGAAGACATCCTGCCCAGCCACCCTTTAATAATTTTTCCAATACAGTAAGACTATATGAATTCAACAACTACATCATATAATCCTACATAATAAAAGGCGAATAATCCGCAAATCAACTAAGCAGCTGCTATGATGTGCACTGACCACCAGGGAGCAGATGCTCAATGCAGGAGCTGCCCCATGGTGGTCAATGTGTTCTCACAGAAGGAGCAGAGCCAGAAGCCGGGCTTATGGTTGGCCTGGTTAGTGCAAGGGTGATGGTGGGAGTCTCTCCTGCCTCCAAGGCAGCACTAAGGACCCCTGGCGGACATCCCTCAAGGAATCCTTGACTGCAAGAGGGCACAGGCCAGGCTGAGGGACAACCCCCCGACCCCAGCCTTGTACATGAATGTCATGCACCGGGCCTCTAGCAGATTATATTTACACTCCTCCTTTTTATCTATATAGGTGATTAAAGAGAGTCCTTTAAATGGCTTTTCTCCTGTCTCTCCGGGGTTATCCTCTTTCTCTTTCTTTTGCCATTCATTCATGGTTAAAAGTGATAAAACAATATAATGAGGAACAATATAACAATATAAAAAATAAAATGAGAATTTTTATAATGGAGTTAAAACCACAATTCCTTGTTTTACATTGAAAAAATAAGAGATAAGGAAAAGTAGGACCACATAAAAGAAGACATGGAGAAACAGATAAAAATCATTTTAAATGCCTATCAGTGATAGTCAGATTCTTGATTGGAAGTTCTTTCAATTTATAATCCTTGAAAAAATAACAGTAACAGCAAGCAATCTTTCAATTGACCAAAACACATTTAATCCTTTACCATACAGTTTAAGAGTCACAGCACACTTAAGAACAAGAAAATAAGATTCAAAATGAAAAATACTTTACCTAATAAATTATGCACACAAATATGAATTTTGTGTTACTACTAAATTTGGTAAGTTAATTTAAAAACAAACAAACAAAAAACTGTACCTGAGATATTTGGCCCTGAGTTGTTCGAATATTTAAAGATTGGCTTCTTGTTACCATTGCCCCAGAAAGAGATTTTCCATTCACCTTTCTTTCAAGGTGACAACTTGCTAGTGATCTCTCTTCAAGAAGAACAGCATCCCAAGGATCCTCTGCTAGCAAACCTGGGACATTTTTCTCTTCTTCATAGTCTAATACCTCCACACTGTCCACCTTAGGCTTACTTAGAGGATCCAAGTCTAACCAGTCAAATTTACTGATATCTTCAGACTTTGGAGATACCTGTAGATTGCTTATTGTAGCTTTTGAATTTGTTATCTCCAAATCAGTCCTTGCTTTTCCATTTTTTAAAAATGCCGATGTACTAGCTATTTTGTCGAACAGCTTTGCCATGTCAGGACTGACTACTGGACGACAGATAGGTAAGCTTCCTTGTGGATGAAACTGTGTGGCCGATGTCAAAGGATATGAAAAATATGGAGACTGTCCTGGAAGACTTAAATATATAGGTTCTGTGGTTGGAAAAGTAGGCATTCTTGGATTAAAGCCATTTTGGAATGCAGTCTGTTTACTACTATATGTTGACTGATAAATAGAAGGTAAAGTATAAGTGGAAGGCCCAGATAAACCAGTTGGCCACTGTCCTCTCTGAATAGTAGGTCTAAGATACAGCTGTGCTGAAAACGAAGGGCTCAGAACAGGAGTAACTGGCATTGCAGGTGTTTTCTTTGTCTCAAAACTGTCATCTAGCAATAGTTTCTCCAGTTCAGCTTGAGTTAGCTTTTCTACATCAATATCAACTGCTCTTTTTTGGGTATCTGATTCAGGAAACACCATGAGGTCATAATCCTGTTTGTTATAATCTTGTGCTCTTTGTGTGGTGCTGCTTGACAACTCAAAGCCTCGATGATTATCAGCTACTTGTCTATCTTTCTGCAGTTTTGCTAAAGCCTCTGCTTCCATCTGTAACGCTTCTTCTTTGTCCACATCTTTTGTTCTTGTTGGGTCCAGATGTGAAGATGAACATTGCTTAAATCCATTGCTGCTGGATATCTGAGCCATATCCACTTAACAGACCAACCTTCCTCTAATCTGTTTTTTTCTTGTAGCTCCCAAAAGCAAGACCTGTACACAAAAATAAACATAATACTCGATTAAAATTTTTAAACACGTTTTCTTTTTAATCTAGTTCATATAATTTAGTTAGGCTTTAAAGCCACGTACAAACACATTACCAAATAAAATAAAATGAAGTTAGGGTGAAAGAACACTTAAAATTTCTTATACACTCACTGTTAGATGAGGGAAGATATTTAGACATAGACGACTGCCCCATTCCCGGGAAAGCTACAACAATAAATGAACTCAACAAGCTTTCACTTCAGCTTCACAATAGCTACCCATAAACTTCTGCCAGAATTCTTGACATGAAATGGCTTAAATGCTAGTCACTATTTGCAAGAATTCCAACAGGTTTTACTGTTATGTAAATAGCAAATCAAAGAGAATTTCATCTTTTGCTATTTGTTAAACTACTCAAAAGCCAATTAGCAATAAAAGTACTCAATACCTAGTAAATAAAATTAAGAAACTAACAGTCTATCAAAATAGCATATGAAAAACTATTAAGTTTATCAGTTTTTATCATACTTCTATTCTGATTACCTTTAATTAAAATAGTTATAATACTAAAATTTCTCCTTTTCAAATTGCTAAAATATTTATTCAGAAGACAGCTTATTAAACTTTCTCAAAGATCAGTTTTTTTTTAATTTATACTTCTCTGTTTAAGAGAAACACTTAATTCAGATGAGATTACCTGTGAATAGGATCAATTAAAGGGTTAGTTATCTACTATGCAACAGAGGACACATTTTATGCTTCTAATCAAAATAATACATGTGTTAAGTGTGGGTTCTGGAGTCAGACCACCTTGATTTATGAGGCGGTAAGACCTTGGACAAATGAAAACTTTTCCATGCTTTAGGTTCCTAACTTCTAAAATGAAAAAAGTATCTACTTCTTAAATTATAAGGATTAAATGAAACACTGCAACTCAAAGTATTTACCAGTGGCCTTGAGTATAAGCACTAAATAAATGACACCTATTACTGATCTAATCTAGTATGAGATATACCTAATTTGAAGACTTAGAAAGCAAGAGAGTTCCTGCTTACACCCTTTTCCTAGCATAGTGCCTGTCTACAGTATACACTTACCGTATTCTTCGGACCATAAGACGCACTTTTTCCCCCCCAGAAGTGGGGGGGAAAAGTCCCTGCGTCTTATGGTCCAAATATAGCCTACACATATACTTTTAAAAAAAAGTTTTTTTACTTGCCCGGCTCTGTGTGGTCTCTGTGTGCTTGCCCGGCTCTAAAATGGTTCTAAATGCTGCTGTTTACTTTACAGGGTTGATTACATGTGTTTATGACTGTGATGTTGGGTTTTAATGCACATAAAATATTTTAGGACACTATTTGTTTCAGAATCTTTTTTTCTTCATTTCCCTTTTCTAAAAACTGGTGCGTCTTATGGTCCGGTGCGTCTTATGGTCCGAAAAATACGGTAATAAATATTTAATGAAAGGACATAGAAAAATACCCAAAGCAAATTCAAATTAATATAACACAAATGAAAATCCTAAGTGTTGAGGTAATACTAAATTTTTTTTAAAAAAGTATTAGTGATGAGAACATGAAGAAAGAGGTATCCAAGGAAGACATCCTTTGCAATTCTTTTATACAATTACTAGAGGCCTGGTGGGGTTCCTCGGCCTGGCCTGCGGGAGATAGGGAAACTGGCCTGAGGGTCCCCTGAGGGTCCTGGATTGTGAGAGGGCGCAGGCCAGGCCGAAGGACTCCACAAGTGCATGATTGCGGCTTGGGAGGGACCATAGGAGGGCTCTAGGGTGTGTCTGACTTGTCTCCCTACTGGCCCAGTCCCAAACAGTCAGACTCCAGCAGCAAGCTAACCTACCAATCGGAGCATCTGCCCCCTAATGGTCAGTGTGGGTCATAGTGATTGATCTAATGGTCGGATAGCTGAATTTGAGGCATTTCACTGGAAAGCTATTCCAAGTTTTTCCCTTCTTGGTAGACCACAAACTAGGAACAATGTACACTTAAAATTTGTACACTTCATTGTATGTAAATATTTTATCAAAAGAAAAAAACTGAACATAAATATTGACTCTTGCTAAATATGCACAAAGTAATTACAGTGGTTCTCAACTTTTCTAATGCCACAACCCTTTTACAGTTCCTCATGTTGTGGTGACCCCCAACCATAAAATTATTTTTGTTGCTACATCACAACTGTAATGTTGCTACTGTTATGAATCGTAATGTAAATATCTTATGTTTTCCGATAGTTTTAGGCAACCCTGCTAGAGGTTCTCAACCTGTGGGTCACAAGGTTGAGAATGGAAGAGTCTAAGACCATTGGAAAACACAGATATTTACATTATGATTCATTAACAGTAGCAACATTACATTTATGAAGTAGCAACGAAAATAATTTTATGGTTGGGGGTCATCACAACATGAGCAATTGTGTTAAAGGGTCGTGGCATTAAAAAGGTTGAGAACCACTGAATTAGAGGAAAGTATTAATATCTACAATTTACTTTGAAATGCATCAAAAAATAAGATGAATTGATTAATGGAGAGATAATAGATGAATATGTGATAAGGGAAGTAGGGAAAATGTTATCAGTAAAGTCTAGGTGGTAGGTATACTGGTAGTCACTTTGAAATTGTTTCAACTTAGCTAGATTATTGAATATTTCCCAAATATTGTAAAATGCTGAGTGCAGAGGGAACAGACACAAATTCCTCCTATTCCAGTATACATTACCCTTTGCAATGTGACTTTACTGCTCCTCCCATAAGGAGGTGGGGTCTACTTCTTTACTTCATCTAAGCTGGTTTTGTGACTTTCTTTGACTAAGATAATATGAAAGAAATGAGTGACACTGTGGGAGTTCTCAGTTAGGGTCATAAAAGGCCAGTGCTTCAGTTCTTCCTCTTTTGAGTGTAGCCACTGCCATGTGAATACTTATAAAGAATGAGAGCCAGGAAAGAGAGGCCCAGGCAATAACCAGCACTGACCACCAAACATGTGAGTGAAGTCACCCTCTTAGACCATCCATCCATAGTCCAAATGACCACACCCACATGAGTGACCCACATGCATGACCAGCAAAAGAAACCACCCAGCCTAAGTTCCAGCCTAACTGCTAACCCACAATATCATTTTGCAATGGTTTGCTACACAGCAATAAAAACTGATAAACCTTTTATTTTTACTTTTAGAACACAAAACTAAAGTTACTTACCTATTTAACAATAAATTCCTGTTTTAACCAGGACAGCTACCACCACTACCTTCCCTTTACAATTCAGAGAATGAACAGTTCCCTTTTCCTTTCTAAAGCTGCTCCCTTTCTTTATCCTTAATCCCACTAAATTCCCTACTTCTTTATGATTGCCTCCTTTGCATTATTAATTTCTCCTTTACTTGCTTTTCTGCTCCTCTGCCATGAAAGTGTTCAAATTTTCTCCATACTGAGGGGAAATTTTCTCAACATTCTCTTTTAGACTCCAGTAGCTTCCATTTCCATTTTCTCCTTTCAGGGCCCAACTTCTCAAATAAGTCCTTTCTTTACTCATTCTGTCTTAGAAAAAAATCTACTTGTCCTTTAGGGCCCAATTCAAGTATAGCTTTTTGCCTGAAGCTTTTCTTAATGCAGAATTCATCTTTTTACTAGTAACTCAAATCTTTATTTTGCAGACTTTATGCTGCTTTTGCCTGCTTGGCATCCTTTCTTCTGGTAGTGATATCTATAATGTCCTTTTTGGAAACTACTTATCTCCTTTTTATTCCATCTAGTTTGAATAGGGCTGGACCATACTTACACCCCAACCACTCCAGAGGATCCAAGACTAGCCAGTCAGAGTTAAACCCAGGACTTCTGAAACTTTGTACAGGAAGCTCATCGTTGAGGTTGCTAAGCTGAACGGGTGTAAGCCTAACACTGCTGTCACTATCTTTGCCTCCACTTGAGGAGATGCTACCTGAGAATGTGTATCCAAGCCAGAAGAGAGCAAAGATAATTGAGGCAGATTCTGGATATTACATTAAGTATATGGATCTAACCCATGTTCAAGGCCAGTCTTTTCATTTATGTGAGGCAATAACTCTTTGCTTTAGCTACTTTAAAATTACTTTCTGCCATGATAACCAAAAATATCTTTATTAACACAGAATCTGTAATATGCATGTTCACCTAACTGACTAAAATATGCTTCTGAGGTACAGAGGCCTACTTTGCTCATGTTTTTCTTCCCTACAACATTTAAAATCACCTTGCTTAATAAATTTGGAACTAAATTTAATGAATATGTGTTAACAGGAGGGAATAGGACTGATGAAAAGTATTGAAAAAGGAATTTCAGATAAAACAAGAGTATGGAGGCTTTATTGTAAAAATGAGTCAAGTGTAAATTGCCTGTTACTGAACACCACAACACATTGCCTATTCCCCCCCCACACACACACACACAAAATCAGGTGGATAAGAACAAATTAACAATTTACAAAGAGATAAAGATTCATCTTTCACAAGCATAATGACGCTGTTATTTAAGTATTCTCCTGGCTCCCATATTTGATAATAATATTACATAGTTCTGAAATGGGATGTGGATTTTTTTAAGTGAGTTTGAGATACAGTTTATTCGATGGAGAACATATACTTATTGCAAGTATTTCAAATTAGTGTTATTGCTCATTTACTAACAAAAGTATAAAATAGTCTGAAATATATTTTAATAATGAATGTGGTGTTTCACATTATCAATTCATTTGCTTGCTCAATCCCTGGTTCCAACCCAATATAGTGTGCTAAAGTATACAAAATAGTATGCAAAAGTAAGTATATTCTAAAGCAAATTCAACTCAGTGATAGTGATCTATTAGCAGCTAAATTACTATACTTTAGTTTTCCATATGAATACTTAAGTGGTAAAAAGGACTTTAAAAATTGTCCAAAAGTAATTCTGTGCTTCAGCTATTTTCCTGGAGCTGCTATACTGACATGCTCCATTAATTTTTAAAAATGA